AGTTTTGCTGCTCTGTGTTGTTACTTTCCTGTACATAGTCTGTGTTTCTATTGTTCTTTTGGTTCTCCAGTTTTCACTGTGTATCACATTATAGAAGTCTTCCAGTATTTCCCTGTAGTCTTCATGTTTTCCATTCCTTATGGCCCATAATTTGTTTCCAGTTTTGTTCTATGATGGATAGTGTTATGATGAATATTTTTGTATAGAAGGATGGTTTCGTTCTTCCTGTTGTTAAGTTCCTTAGGATATAAACCCAGAAATGGCATGTCTGGGTCAAAGTATATGAGTGCCTTTGTAACTTTCATTGTAGAGTTCCATACTGTTTTCTAAAGCAGTTGCAGCAGTCCATTGTTAAGCTGCTTATGAGTTGTATGACCCTGAGCAAATCACTTCATCTCTTTGTGCTGTGGTTTCTTCGTCTGGAAAATGGCGCCAGTGATGCTTGCGCCATTGAATTTATAGGATTGTTGTGGAGAAAATGCTTAGGAAACCTCAAGTCACTGTATCAATGCTAGTTTTTATTATTACTTCAAAGTGTGGGTGGTCCCTCCACTGACAAAGGTCACAGCCCTTCCATACCTTCATAGATATTTTACACTGAGTTGCTGTGGCTAGAAAAGGCCACACTCTGTGGCCAACCTGGTACCAAGTCTCTCTGACCTCAGCCAGGTTGGTCCCAGTCATTGATGACATCACTAGGCCCATACTTAAGGCCTTTTCACTTGGGGAGTTCCTCCTCAAGATGTTTACTGTAATGACATAGCTTTTTAGAACCCAGGGTCTCTCCTCTTTGACAGGAGGAGGCAGGACAGGAGCATTCTTATTATGATATGAGAAACCAAGTGCCAAAGGGAATGATGATAAGCAGGATCAGAACAGAAAGCCTTCTCAAGAGAGGTCAATTCTGAATTAATTCCTGTGGGAAATTGAGGGACAGGATTTAATGAAGAGGATGTGAGAGGGGACTCCTAGCAGGGGAGGAAGCTGCATAAACTTGCCTCTTTTCTGGCCTTTTCTCTACACTTGCTGGTTCTGCTTCCTTATTTCCTGTTCAGCCTCCTGCAATTGCCTTTGCTGCCCCAAATTCTCTTGAAATGGCTTTTTAGCATCTATGTAATTTGACTTAATTGTTGGATTCAATTCCCATTCCTCGGTTCTAATTTGCTTTCACCTTTCTGTAACATCTTTAGCTGCCTTATCCTTCTCAATGATCCCATCTCTCTTAGCACCTCAAATACTGAATTAGGAATACTGGAGCTGGAAAGGACCTTAGTGTTCCTCTAAACCAAGGGGTCTTTCACTTTCCTTGGGTCCTGGCCCCCTTTTGCAGTCTAGAGCATCCTAGAAAAGCCTCCTTCTCCAAATCGTGTTTTTAAATGCATACAACATAATACATAGGATTGGAAAGGAAACCAATTATATTGAAATACAGGTTATCAAAGTACATGTTTTTTAAAAACCAAGTTCATGGATCCCAGGCTAAGAACCCCAGATCTAGACCAATTTCCTCATTTGGTGTAGGAGGAAACTAAAATCCACAGAGAGAGGTAAAGTGACTTGTCCAAGCTCACACAGTTACTAAGGGGTAGAGCCAAAGGTCACAGAATCTTCACAAGCTATAACTCAGCCTTTGCTTGAAGGTCCAAGAATTTGAGCTCATTGAGGACACTCAGATGCTACCTGGCCATTTCCTCTTCTCCTAATAACAAGAGCAAGAGTGACAACTTACATGTATGTTGCACCTTGAGATTTTTTGTTCAGTTGTTTCAGTCATGTTTGACTCTTGGTGACCCCATTTGGGGTTTTCTTGGCAAAAATGCTAGAGTGGTTTGCCATCTCCTTCTCCAGCCCATTTTACAGATGAGGCAAACAGGGTGAAGTGACTTGTCTAGGGTCGCACAACTAGTAAGTGTCTGAGGCCAGATTTGAACTTTTGAAGATGAATATCTAACTTGCATACATTATTTCATTTGAGCTCATTGTGAAGACACAACCAAAGCAGGACAGGAGTATCATAAAAATAAAAAAAATTCCAAGTTGGAAGGGCCCTTCCCCAAGGCTGACGAGCAGGCTCTGTGCACGCACGAGGTTCCCATCTCCATTGTACTCAATAAGTGACCAGCTGGCCTGTGACCTTCAATGAATCATTTCTGCTTATGCTTTTAGGAGTTCATTCTTGAGAACATCCTGTCCCCTCTTGGGCTGACTTTTTCTACACAATTAGAACGTTGGATCCTGAGATTCAGTATAGGCCTCAAATCTGATTCTTAAGGTCTTTTCACCACTCCCATCATTCTTCTTCTGCCAGCTGCTCTCCAGTTTCTCTTCCTGCAAGGGGCAGGCTGGCAGACGTTCATCAACTACCTCCCTGAAAAAAACATAGGTGCAGCACACCTTTATGTTTAATCTGCATGGTCACCATTTTCTTCATCACTTTCTCAAGTCCAAACAATCAACCAAGGGGCAGTTAGGTGGCACAGTGGTTAGAGCAGTGGCCTTGGAGTCAGGAGGACCTGAGTTCAAATTTGGCCTCAGATGCTTGACACTTACCAGCTGTGTGGCCCTGGGCAAGTCACTTAACCCCATTGCCTAGCCAAAAAACAAAACAAAACAAATAATCAACCAAACAATACATACACTCTGAAGTGTTGATGTTCACCTTCAAAATTGAATAGTCTGTTCTTCTGAGCAATTTAACAATTGGCTCTCATGAGTCAATGGTAACCTTCTTCAGCATATCACTGCCTATCCGACTCCTCCTCAGTCTCCTTTACTGGATAATAATTCCTTTTCTGATTCCGTAAATGGGAGTGTGCTCCAAAGCGTCAGCCCTCTTCTTTTCTGTATACGCTCCTTTTCTTGCCGATTTCCTTCATTCTCATGCCTTGTTGCCACTCCTAAGCTGATAATTCCTTAATCTCTTATGTGTATTTATATATGTAAGCACATTCTATATGTGTCCCCGTCCCCACTGTCTCCTCTCAGCTCCAGTCCCCCATTTCCAACTTCCTGTTAGACATCTCTACCTAGACATCCCACCGGCCTCTCATACTCAACACCTCCCCAATTGGACTTAGTGTCTTTCCCCCAATACCTGACCCTCTTCCCAACTTTTCTGTTTCTCTTGATGGTACCATCACCCTCAAAACCTGGGAATATGTCTATTAGTTTTCTTTACCCTTGTCCCCACATCCCTAGTTGTGAAATCTTCTACCTCCAGGCTCCAGCCCATCCCCTCCTCTTCACTTACACTGGCATACTCCTTTCAGATCCTTCACCCACATGGCCACGGCCCTTGTTGCTTCTCACCTACACTTTTGTAACAGTTTTCTTCTAACTGGCTACCCAGACTCTAGTCTCTCCCCTTCTCCAATCCAGCCTTCCTCTAGCTGCTAAAGTAATCTTCTTAATATATGTCTCCCTCTTTTAAGGAGTTTTTCAGCAACTCACAGAATGTCATTTTAGAGCTGGAGGGTCCCATTCCACTCGCTTATTCCAGCCCCCTCATTTTACAGGCAAAGAAACTGAGGGCCAGAATTGTTAAGTAACTGACCCAAGGTCAAACATGTAGTAGAGAGACAGGACAATTCCCCAACTCCAAATCCCCCAAGCCTTGCAGTTTCCTATCGCTTGGAAGACAAAATGCAAACTCCTTAACCCAGCACTCAAGGCACTCCACAGTCTAGTTCCTACTCCCTCAGGTGGGTTCCATTCTCCTACTTGTGGATCTGAGTAGGTTGTCCCCTATTCCTGGAACATCCACACCCCTTCAGCCTTTTGGTCTTCTCTTCCTTTCAGGACCATGCTCTGGTGACATCTCCTCCATGAAACCTTCCCTGATTATTCCCCTCAACTGCAAATTAGCTCACTCTTTTTTCTCTCTCTGTCTGTCTCTCTCTCCTCCTGTCTCCCTCATCTTTCTTTGTCTCTGTTTCTTTCTCTCTGATTCTCTCATGAAATGTTTTCCTAGAGCACTTTGTCTACACTCCTCACTTTTACCTTGGATTCTCCTTGGATCCTCAGACCTGACATGGCTTCCCCTTCTTTTGTGTGTATCTAGAGTGCTGGGGTCATGCTCTTTTTCACCTGCTTAGCCTCGGCACCAAGCACAGTGCCTGTCTGCACACCGTAGCCACTTTCTAAGTATTTCTGGAATTGAATTTCAGATTTTTGCCCGGCCCCCCCAACCCCCCATACCCAGGTGCCTTCAGTATCTCTTTCAGGACAAGGCTGTCTTATCTGGAACGCCAGACTTTAGAAACTGAGGGTTGTATTAATGAAGAATAAAATCTAGTGGCTTGCACTTTAAAAAAACATTATTTTTTGCAGTCTATGTTGAGCACCCAACAATGAAGCAGGTTTCTAAATTCATTTCTCTCATTAGTACTGCAATCAGTCACCTGACTGGAAAGATTTTCACCACTGAAGGTCAGCATAAAAATGTACAAATAAAATAAACTCTCTAGTGCAGTACACCTCCAGGCATCGTGAGCCCGAGCCTGCCTAGACACTTTTCATTACAAGAATGAAAAAAAAGAATAACTGAAAGGGATGAGAACAATTACAGGGGGGCTCTCAAAAGCTGCAAAGATTGTAAAAACCGCAGAGGGGGTTGGCTGACGTGCTGGTTTGGAAATTAAAATGTAATCTCACTCAATGCCTTATTTTCTTGGTTCTAAAAATCATAGCGTGACACTCCTAGATATCTAGACATTTACATGGCTGCATTTGCCTCTGGGGAAGACATATGTCATTTACAGGGCCTGGAAAACAGTTGATCCTGGGGCCTGCCTGCCATCCATCAACAGGTCAAGAACACAGGCAGTAACACAAAGTCTTCCAAAGAAGGCTGATAAACCCAAACTGGGTATCAGGGGAAGAAAGTGAGCCCGGGGTTCTGAGCTACTGTGCAGATTAAAGATGAGAAGTAGCCCTTGGTGTTAGGGCAGATAGATCTGCTTTTGCATTAGACAAGTGGGCCTTACTCTTGTTTCCTTTAGTGCCTGTACCATCCTGCAGCGACTTTGAGTCTGTGGTTGCCAAGGCATTCAAGTCTGCCGCGGATGATCCACTTTGTCTGGTAGCAACGGTTCGCCTCAACTCACCCCAGCTTTTAAAGGTGAGCAATCCCTCCTTGGCCAGCCTGGCCTGAAGGCTCAAAGGCTTTGGTGAGGACCAGCCCATGCAGCCCTTTACCTCTTTCTCTTTTGCAAGTATTTCAGGCAGGTGGGAGAGCAGTAGGAGGCTTTGAGGCCTGGTCCTGAGCACTTTACAGTCTGTTGGGGGTAGAGAAGAAGGATCTAGTGAAACACCTGTGGAGAGAAGCTCATGGAATGCTTCTGGTACAGGAAGGGAAGATTAAGCATTGCCTGAACTGTGCTCTTGGGCTGGGCATGCATTGGCAAGGTTTCCCCAAAGTTTAAAGGTAGTTGAATGGTTACAGAGAAGTTTGGCCACTTGGCAGTAATGTTTAACCAGTTAAATAAATCTGTGAAGCATTTAGCCCAGTGCCTGGCACACAGTAGGTACTATATAAATACTTATTCCCTTCCCTTAATGTGGGTTGGCACCTGCTAAATAACTTCTAATCTTAGCAAGTCACCTAAAGCATTGAGAGGTTCAGTGACTTGCCCAGGGTCACGAAGCCAGGATGTGTCAGAGGCAGGACCTAAACCCAGGTCTTCCCAGCTTCAAGTCTGACTCTGTCCAGTGTACCATGTTGCCTCCCATTATTTTAGAAAAAAAATTAACATATCGTTGTTTTTTAGGCAGTTGGGGTTAAGTGACTTGCCCAGGGTCACATAGCTAGTAAGTGTCAAGTGTTTGGTTTGAGGCCAGATTTGAACTCAGGTCCTCCTGATTTCAGGGTAGGTACTCTATCCACTGCGCCACCTAGCTGCCCCAAAAGATCATTTTGTTGTTATAGTCTTCAAGACACTTTTGCAGGTATCCCATATGATCTGTGAGATGAGCTATGGCAGGGAGCATAACCCTCATGTTACAGGTGGGGAAACTGAGGCTCAGAGAGGTCTAGATTAGAAACCAAAATTGGCTAGAAGGGAACTTTCCTCATTAACAGCAGAATATGGCAAAAGGCATGACGCCTAACGAGAAGTCAGATTTGATTTGGGTTCCCCGCTATTCAGTTGAGTGGATGGCCATGCTTGGGTGAGAAACATCCACGTTTGGAGATTTTTCAAAGTCTGTATGAATAGATTAGGATTCAGAGGGGAAGGGGAAGTTGTCTAGTTCAACTTTCTCATTTCACAGAAGAGGAAAGTGAGTTCTCAAAGGGCAGGTGACTTGCCCAGTGCCTTTCCGCTGACTAGCCTGACATCAAGAGCCTTGTCTGCTCCTCCTTGTTTTCACTTGACTTACTTTCTCTGGACCTCAGTTTCCTTATTTGTAAAATGGCAGGCTTAGACTAGTTAACACAAAGGTCATGCCCAGCTGAAAATCCTTACTTGCTGACTGACTTACTTGCTGTGTGACTTGGGGCCTTCCCTGGGCCACAGTCCCCTCATATTAGAATAGTAGCCTAAGAAAGAGCCTTGAAGGCCAGAGCATCCAATCCCCTCATTTTACAGTTTCTAAGGCACAAAAGTGAAGTGACTTTCCCAAGGTCATACAACTAGCAAGTGGCAGAGCTGGGATCTGAACCCAGGTTTTCTCCCTTCAGGTCCATGTTATACCTTCCTCTCTTGAGGCCTAGCTGTGAAGGGAAGGTGAAGTGCTTTTTAAACTTCAAAGCACCATATAGATGTAAAATATTCTTATGATTATGATTACAATCATTGCTATAATATGCATATCAATATATACCGACTTTTCTACAGGAAGTTTGCACTGTAGAAGAACCTGGTGAAGAATTTACCTCAAGACATAGTTTGGAGTGGAAGTTTCTCTTCTTGGACCATAGGTGAGTAGCTGGTTTTTTTTTTTTTGTCATGAGTACATTTTAGGAAGCAAATAGACTCTTCTCTTTTTTAGAAAAAAATGTCAATTTGGTGTTTTGGGTTTTTTTTGACTAGGCAGTTGGGGTTAAGTGACTTGCCCAAGGTCACACAGCTAGTAAGTGTCAAGTGTCTGAGGCCAGATTTGAACTCAGGTCCTCCTGACTCCAAGGCTTGAGCTGTATCCACTGTTCCATCTAGCTGCTCCAAAATATCAATTTTTAAAAGACATTATTTAAAAACCAAAGACAGTGAAAAACATGTCATGTCCCAGCCACATCCTAACCAGAGTCATTGGAGTTAACTCGGAAGGAATTTTAAAGCCTATTTGATCCAACCTCAAGGCCCAAATGAAGGCCTCTAGAGGGGAAGAGACTTGTCCAAAGTCACTAGTTAAGAATTGGCTGACCCTCTTTTGGCAAATGAGATTTATCATTTTCTAACCAAATAAAGAAGGGAGACTTAGATTTTCCTGAAGGAAAAAAAGAAAGTAAATACAAGTGTCTGAATTGAATGAAATTCGAGATAAGGGAATAATACATATTTCACCCAGCAAGGGCTGGCTTACTCTTTATTTGATCTTGATAAAGATAAAGTTGAGGCAATATTAAAAAGAAAGAGAAAGTTGAAAGGACAAGTAAACACTCCGAACATTTTGTGGGTACTTTTAAATGATATTTCAATTTTAATAAATTGAGTTTAACAGGAGGAAAATGAACTCAGTGGTCAGAAATCATCCCATTTAAATTCTCCAAAATCAAATGTTATTCATTAGGAGGAAGAAAGGTTTCTTAACTAAGGTCGTTGTAAAATTGCTTTTTCTTCTCTGAGGACCTCTCTAAGAAATCGCTCTTCTCTCTAGCACTTGTGTAGAATAGTTAATGATTTCATAATGAATTGCTAATGTTCATTAAAAACAGACACCAAGCATTAAGGTTGTTTAATATGAATCAATCAAGCTCAGGGAAAATACTATTTATACTAAGTTAACCCATTTAGCCAAGCAGATCCTCCTAGCATATAATTGACTTCCTGGTCACACAGTAAACACTGAGATTACTAAGATACTACCAGAGGGTTTAGTAGACTATTGCAAATATTACCTCATTGTCTTATAATTCCACGTTGAATCTTTCAGAGTCTTCCACCATTACAGTTTGGAATAATGGAAAGAGTACTGAACTTGGCGTCAAGAAGACCTGAGTTCAAATGCCACCTCAGTTATGTACTAGCTGTGTGATCCTGGGCAGGTCACTTACTTGCTCTGAGCCTCAGTTTCCTCATCTGTAAAATAGGGTAAATGCAGTTACGTGGAGCAGTGGATAGAGTGCTGGGCAAGTCACCTGACCCTCGGTTTGCCTGAGTTTGCTCAGCTGTAAAATGGGGATAATAGCTCCTGCCTCCCAGGGTTGTTATGAGGATCACATGAGATAATATTTGTAAAGCACTTGACTTTGAACAGCACCTGGCACATACTAGCCATCATGATTATAATTATTACTGTTATATTCCTCCCAGGGCTGTTAATAGGTTCAGGTGAGCTCATATATGTAAAGCCACCCTATACAGGTGTAACAGGGCTTTGGCACCTGGTGCCCAGGCCACCTAAGATGGCGGCACTTGCTTTGGAGAGAAGTCATCTCTTAGTAGTAGCTCAGTCACCTCTTCACTCACATAGCCACCAGCCTGGTTCAGGTCCTACCCCCTCACTTGGACCATTGCAATAGCTTTGCAACAGTAGATTTGTAACTGCTTACTCTGTCTCCATGTTCTCCCCTTTCCAGCCCAGGGCCTCTTTTCTGAAGATGGCCCTGAGTGCTGGCATGGAGGGCAGATTCACTCAAATCTGGCTCTTTGGGGAGAAAGCTTATGGACCCTATCTCAGAGTTATGTTTTTAAATGCATGACATAAGACACAGAAGATTGTGTTTATCAAAATATTTTTTCCGTCCAAGTTCATGGCTCCCCTGAAATTTAACCACAGACTGCCTATGGACCCTGGGTTAAGAGCCTCTTTGCTCCAGGCCATCTTTAAGCAAGCTACACAAATAAGGCACAGGTTTGGTTGGGTCACTTCCCTGTTCAGAAACCTTCAGGGCTCCCCCTTGCCCATAGGATCAAATGCATATTCATTCACCTGGCATTCAAGGCCCTACGCTATCAGGGTCCACACCTACCTTGCCAGCCTTAACTTCCTATAACACTGCCATATTCATAGTCTACATTCTCACCAAACAGAGCTCAGTTGTCATTCTCTTATCTCATTATGCCCCTCTCCAGCCCCGCTGCCTTTGTGCAAGAATCCCGCCCCCCCCCATGTCTCCCCAGCCCTTAAGGCCCAACTTGGGAGATTTTCCCAGCCCAAAGTGATGGCTCCCTCCACCAGTTCCTCGCACTCTTACCTGCTCTCTGGATTTCCCATATGATCACTTCTGTCAGACTTAACCTGTGCTCAAGGCTTGTTACCACCCACCCCACTGTTATGCATGGTCTTTTCTTCCTTCCCTTTTACTCCTATACCGAGTGTGGCTTTGGGTTGGTTTTTCTTTCTTCCTTTCTTTCTTTCTTTCTGTTTACATAGACTTTTCCAGCAGTTCCTGCATTTTATTCTCCATTTTGAAACTTCACCAATAATGACTTGTTCTGTATTAAATTACATTCCCCTTGTCAGCTTTCATTGGAAAAATTTTGGTAGAATTATCCATTCCTAGCATAAGGAATTGCTTCTAGTAATAGTATTTGAATGATGTTTTGTTTTATGAAAAACATTTGAGGCAGTGTGGTATGTTGGAGAGAGAGATGGGCTTGGGAGTATCACTTGATCTCTCTCTGGTCCTTGGTTTCCCCATCTGTAAAACTGAGACCCTCACTCCTTCACCATCCCCTCCCACAAGATGGTTGTGAGGAAAGTGCATTGCAGATGACAAAACTGTAAGTTTGTGAGCTAGGATGCTGCTGAAGGAGATGCTATCTCTGTCATATAGCTTTTCTTGGGAGAGCATGACATTAACAGTAATAACTTCGAGGAAGAAAGACAGTGTGATCGTATCATACTCATATTTCAGTCATTTCCTCTGATGGCCCATATTCATCCAAAGAGTTCCTAAAGGCCCCAGATGTCCTCTTTGAAAGATTCAAGGATCTCAGAGCCAGAAGGGACTTATTTAGTATATTTCAACTGAAATCCCTTCTACCCTATTCCTTTATAGGTCCAGCCACTGCTGGGAAACTCACTACCCAGCCTAGGATATAATTCCATGTTTGTATTGCTCTAAGTGTTAGAAAATTCCTCCTCGTATTGAAGCTGAAACCTGCCTCTCTCTATTTTAGGATTATAGATTCAGAGCTGGAAGGGGTGGGGGGATTTTTGCGGTCATCTAGTCCAACCCCCACCTCTTAGAGCAGAGGAAACTGGGGCCCAAAGGGTAGAAGCAATTTGTCTGAGATCACACAAGGAGGAGAGAGCAGAGCTGGTATTGGAACACACGTCCTCGGATTCCCAATCTAAAGCCCTACTTCTCTTGGCCCATCACTTTTAGCTTTTGTCCTCTGGGCACATGAAGAGAAGTTCATCGATTTTCCTAAGCTCGTGTACTTGGTTTTGCCTATAAAATAATATGGAGATATCAGAAAAGCAAATTCCAAATGAAGTCCCTGCTATGCATCAGTGACAGTCCTTTTCAAGGCTAATGTTTGCCTTTAGCTTGGTTTGGCCTTTGCTGCTGACACCCACCCTTCCTATAGACCCTAAGGTCAGCCAAGTCTGACCAAGGAATCCTTCGCTCCTTGGTTTGTGCAGCCAGACTTGGGCTAATCTCTCTTTCATGCTTGCTGTGTGCTCACAGGACTGGCAGCCAGCTAGCCAGCACTCCGGGCCATCTTTAGTTACACTGCAAACACTTTGATTAAATGAAAATGCATCAGATCAGTGAGTGTTTCTATGAAATGTGAAATTTGATCAGAAAATATTACTTGTTTAAAAAACCAACAGCCAGGTGAAAAATTATCTCCAAGAGGCTGTGTTCAAAGGTTTGCACTAAGACCCCCTGAAAATGAATATTGAAGTGACTGAGACTGAGTATTAGGAGATAATGAAAGAGAATCTAATAATTGTCCTGGTTCCCAGAAATCTGGGCCGGAAGGAAAACGAGTCAATTCGACAGGCACTCACGAGGCATCTGTTGTATATGGGGCACCCTCTTCGGCCCTGTGGTCAGCAAGCAGGCTGTGGAGCAGGCATTGTGCTAAGCTGGGGCCAGGGAGAATGCAAAGAAAGGCCAAAACAGGCCCTGCCTTCAAGGAGCTTACTTTCTCTTGGGGGGGGGGTATAGACAGCAATTTCATTTCAGAAAGGAGCGACCACTAAAACAATATGGGGATGGGGGTAGGCAGTCAGGAAAGGCTTCCTGGTAGAAGTGCCATCAAGGAAACCAAGGGAAGGAGGGAGAGCATTTCACACATGAGGCACAAGGCATGGAAGTGGGGGATGGCATATCGGTGTTCTGGGGATAGCAGAGAAGCTAGTTCCATACCAATGAAGGTAAACTTGTTTTGCAACTGGTTTCACTGCCTAGAAGTTTAACATTTTTATCTCATCTTATGGGGGCAGCCAAGTGGCAGAGTGGACAGAGCTCCAGGCCTGCAGTCAGGAAGATCACAGTTGAAATCCAGCCTCAATTACTTGCTAGCTGTGTGACCCTGGGCAAGTCACTTCACCATGATCTGCCTCAGTTTCCTCAACTGTGAAATGGAGATGATAATAAAAGCACCTCCCTCCCAGGTTTGCTGTGAGGCTGAAATGAGATAATAATAGTAAAGCCCTTAGCACAGTGCCTGGCACGTAGTAGGTGCTATTATATAAATGTTAGCTATTCTTATTAGTATTGTCCTTCAGTTTTTATCCTACAATAAGGATGCCTGGCCACATACATGTTGTTTCCAGAAGCTAGTGCACGCTTCAGCTGTCTTTGAGAAAATCGTTTTTTATTCTTTTTCTAGAATCCCTTTTCATCCTAAGATGCTTTATGAATGTTGCCCAGCTAATACTCACAGCTTTGGAAGAAGCTAATGGTGATTGCTTGCTGTCTTGGGGAGGGGGAAGGGAAGGGAGGGAGGGAGAAAAATTTGGAACTCAAAATTATACAAAAATGAATGCTGAAAACTATCTTTACATGTAATTGGGAAAAATACTATTAAGGGAAAAAAGGGAGAAGCAAGTGGCAAAGATTTGTTGGTATCACTAATACAGTCAAGTCAAGTAAGGAGCAGCATTTGGGAGATTTCATTCTAGTGGAAAGCACCCTGGCTTTGGAACCAAAGGGCCCAGCTCTGCTACTTACTGCCTGGGTGACTTCAGACAAGTCTCTTGCACTCATGGTGCCTCTGTCTCCTCATTTGTAAAGTGAGAAGTTGTACCAGCTGGCATCTGTGTGCTCACAGTCTTTGTTAGCCCCCAGAGCCTCCTTTTTTTGTGGAAAGTGCTTTGGACCCAGAAATAACATTCTAGGCCTCATGCTGACTCCCGTTTGTATGTTCTTGCCCCAGTAAAAGTCACTTGCTTGGTCAGCATTTCTGGAATACCTACTATGTGCCCTGCATAGCCCTGTAAGATTTTGAAGTGTGACTGGTTTTCAGCAGCGTTAGGGTAGCCAATATCATTTGCTTGATTGGATCTTTTGATTTACTTTTTCTGAGCAACCTTTAAAATACTCCCAACTTGCCCAGGTGGGATATCACACGTGATAAGCACACAGCCTACCTTGAGTCCCATGATGCCTCCTCATCTGAGGTGCTCCAAATGATGGCAGTTACCCCAGGTTCAAGTTTACAGACACCAAGAGGGGGAAGTGTTTTTTTTTTCTCAAGGTCAAAAATTGCATCATGAATGGACCTATGTGGGAGGCAGGAGATTTGAATCAGATAAGGGAGAAGAACATTAACATGTATGAGGCAGCAAGATGGCACAGTGTATAGAATTGTCTGGCCTGGAGTCAGGAAGACCTGAGTTCAAATTAGCTGTGTGACCCTGAGCAAGTCACTTGACCTCTGTTTGCCTTGATCCACCGGAGAAGGAAATGGGAAACCACTCCAGTGCCTTTGTCCAGAAAACCCCAGAGGGGATCATGAAGAGTCACACACCAGCTAAAGGACTGAACAACAGCAGTGGTATAAGGGAGTATATCTTGATTCCTAGAAATCTATATAGCCAAATATATTACCTATATATGCGTACACTAGGCAGTAAAATGTTCCCAACAATGATAATAGTAATAACAGCTAGGATTTTTTTTAACAAATGCTAAGTGCATTTGTTCCTCACAATAACACAATAGGTGTTATTAATATCTTCATTTTACAGATGAGGAAGCTGAGGCAAAGAGAGGTGAAGTGGCTTGCGCAGGGTCTAACAGCTAATAAGTGTCCGAGGCCAGATTTGAACTTGGGTCTTCAGACTTCAGGTCAGGCATTCTGTGCACTGCCCCATCTGTCTGCCTCATACATGTTAATGTTCTTCTCTACAACTAAATGTGTGTACAGAAAGGACTTCAGCTCACACTGAGGCTTCTGACATGTTTGACCCAGAAGGTCATCTTGGTCCCACCCCTGATTTGACAGATGAGGAAACTGAAGGGCTTTAAATCGGAGTCCTCTTTCTCCCCATCCGGCTCTCTCTCCATTCGATTACACTGTGGTCCTCTCCCAGTTCTTCCAAATGCAGTCACATGGCTGGCTCTGTAAACTCTCAGGATTATGAAGTCGGAAGTAACACATTGGAGTCAGTCTCATTATTTCCCAGTCATTCTTTGAGTTTGCTCAGGCAAAGATTAGCTTGAGAATGTGAACAGATTTTTTTCCCCTTTTTTCACATATACAGTGACTCAGCTGGCCTGTTCCTTTAATATATGCTGTCTTCTCCTGCTAGAATGTAAGCTCCTGGAGGGCAGGCTGCAGGTACTTCTAGAGAGGCTTCTTTTAAAAGGGTCAACCAGCACTGACTTGAATCAACAAAGCATAAGGATGAAGTGGCAAGTGAAACCTGGCCCACTTGGCCCAATTGTGTCCTCCAGAAGGATTTGAGTTCACCCTATTTAGAAATATATGCATTTTCCTGTGTTTTTTTCTTACTTCAAGAGTGTGTTTTTAAGTTTTAAGTGTGGAGGCAACAATTTTGATAAAACTCTGACTGATGGAGTTCAGGTCACAAACTTAGGTTATAGGTCGTCCAATGCTGGAAGAAAAACTGATAGTAAAAGATTTTATATGATACTGGATGCTTTTAAAAAATCTCTCCTGAGTCATTTTCAGAGCTGGATCTTAAATGAATGAGAAAGCATTTCTTAAGTGCTTACTAACCCAGAACTATACAAGTAGAAAGCTTGAGGCAGTCTCTGCCCTCAGGAAGCTCACAGTCTAATTGAAGGAGATACATAAAAGAAAAGTTCAGCTGCAGGGACAACAGAAAGGCCCAGATGTCCCAAGGAGGTTTAGGCTAAAGGGAACCCCAAATACTGGCTGTTTCTTGATGTCAGGAAACCATCATCTACACCCTACACCCGACCGAAGAAGACCTGGTAATGAAATGGGGTTACAGATTCCCGTTTTGATGGTTACAAGCCAGACTCAGATCAGAACTTTTTTTTTTCTCCCCAGGTGTGTTTTGACACGCAGTGTTGACTTCAGTGTCTTCTTGCTTCTAATGAATGAGTTTCTCCCTGGGTGACAGAGATTCGACACAAATACATGCTGGAAATTCATTTTGCCTAATGAACGTCTTTAGTGTTAGCAGCTTCCTCAGGCAGTGGGCCAGACATGCTCAATTAGGGACTCACCTTCCAACTGGATTCAGGAGCAAAGCATGCAACACTAACCTTATTCGAAGGAACTCTTTGGAAGAGGCCAGTGCCCATGATGGGCTTTGAGGGAAGGTGGAAGCTTAAAATATTTATCTTGGATCAGCCAAGAAGAGACTGAAATTTCATAGCAACCTACATTCTATTGACTCATTTTCTTTCTCTTTGGCATTAGAGCCCCACCCATCATAGGTTACCTACCCTTTGAGGTGCTGGGAACGTCAGGCTATGACTATTACCACGCCGATGACTTGGAGCCTCTCGCCAGGTGCCACGAACAATGTAAGTTTCCATCTTCCAAGCCTTTAAATGAAGTACTAATTAGGGCCCTTAGGTTCTTTTTTCCTTGTGTGATGTTTTTGCGAAACTCTTAATAGTGCTAAAAATGAAAGCACTGAATGTCTTTGTTGAATCGTTCTTTGTTAAGAATGACTATTAAACATTATTTGTTGGTATATTTAGTGAGTGAGATGGTACTTTAGGGAGGGACTAGTTTGTTTTTCTCCCAATTTTTTAATTGACTGATTGATCGATTGAGTCATGGTTTTCTGTTTTCTGATACTTTATGTTTATAGCATGTTCGTGTCCTAATTGCCAATACACACACACACACACACACACACACACACACACACACACACACATATACACCCTCCATGTAGCCTTATCTCATAACAAAGAAAAAAAGTGACATGAAACAAACCAACACCATGACCACATCTGGTGACATATGCAACAGTCTGTACCCTTTTGTAGTCTGCTACCTCTGTACCTTGAGGAAGAAGCTGTGTGAGAAGGGAATTTTAATGAAATGGAAACAAAATGATTCATTTCTAATTTTCCATTTCTTTCCAGGCTCCCCCCCACTCCCAGCTGCATGTTTTCCCTTCTAAAGCTGCCTTCTGTCTCTTCTGTATTTATCTTGCATATACCAATGTTTGTACATATCTCCACCATTAGAAAGCAAGCTCTTTGTGGGCAGGGACCGGTTTTGGTTTTTCTTGTTATTCCCCAGCCTTAGTGCAGTGCCTGAAATATAGTGAGTGCCAATAAATGCCTGTTGATTGATTCACTTTGTGCACCATCTTCTTCAGCTTGTGGGTCGGTTGGTTTTTTGGTGTTTGTTCACAATTCTCGCTTTGGGGGATTGGAGGATTTCTTTGCATTTGCTTTTTTTTTTTCTTGGAAGAGGTGGCGTGATCCCCATTGCTGAAGGGTGTGCTGCATTGCTGCAGATGGGGTCACTAAAGGATCAGAGTATCTCTCCTACTTCAGCCGATGACAGTCTGTTACCGTGGAGCCCAGATGGGAATGGAGCTTTCTTTATCAGCCATGTGATAAGATTCACTTGCCTGTCAGATAATGAGAAAAGGGACCGCAGAATCAAAATCATTTAAACTCGACATTTTCTCTTTTGTCAATGTTTACAGTATAATATGTAACATCCTTTGCACTGCTCTTTGTATTGCAGATTCAGTTACACAAATATCAGCCAGGGCTCCTGGAAGATAGGTTTTAAAAGCAATCAGAATGTATCCTCACAGCTGGAGGTGTGATGGGGGGGGGCAGGAGAGGAATAGATTGTCCTCCCTACCACTGGTTCTGGTGGCTTGAAAAATGTATCCCACCATTTTAGCAGCCCCCAAGCATCCTAGACTCACACCTCCCTCTTCGGGCCATGGTGGCAGGGCTAGACATGATGGTGCTTCAGAGGGTACTGGGAGAAGGGACAATTCTTAACCCAAAGCATTCGACTTCCAGCTCTGCCTGTGGCCATTTCTACAGAGGTGGTAGGTCCTCAAAGGCAAATATGCCCACCATATTGCTAGGACTTTCCTGTAATCATGCCTGTATCAACTATTGGATAGCAAAACCAAGAAAGCACTGGCTCCACAGAAGCAAGGGACTGGCCATTGTCACATTCCCATAACTCAAAATGTCTGAATCAAATGATATATTTTGCATACACAGACTTTCCAATAGTAAAATTTATTGTTGAGGCCAAAAGGAAATTTAGGGAAGCTGGAATTTTCTAGAAGGCCAAAGGAAAGGTCTGTTCTGTGAATGATGAGATTGGAACAAACAGGATTTCTTGTGCATCTGTTTGTGGAAAATGTAGACTTGAAAGAATTCTGTTCAATCAGAATCTTGCCAAGTTAAAATGGGCCAGGCTTCTTTAATGTGAATCTTGACTGGATCCCTGGAGGTACAGTAGGCTTCAGTGCTCATGAAGGAAAAATTAACCTTGAATTTTTTCCTGCTTGTGCTATTTACACTATGAGCTTTGCAGTTTTGTGTTTGGGTTTTATTGGTTTAGGCAGATGAATTCATTTTAGAAGTTGCCACCACAGAGAGGAGAAGCAGCATGGCATTATGTTTGAGGAGCGAGGAAGGCCTGGACTCATGTTCCACCCCTGATGTATCCTGGCTGTGTGACCCTGGGCAAGTCCCTTAACCTTTCAATGCCTTGGGCCTTTCTCTAAGAAGATGCTGATCTGGACTAATAGAGGGAATTTTCCTCATCGAGCAATTTCTCGTGACAGTGAAATCCCAAGTCCTGTTCTTCTCCTTTTCCCACCATGAGATGAGAAGCTTCCCAGAAAATTTTACCAAGAAAGCCTCAAGATGACTTGTCAAAGCAGGGCCATTAGGTTGGCCCAGATGACTCTCAGGGTCTTTCCAACTTTGCAATTTAGTGATTCTATTGTCCTGACAGCAGGATTTCCCAGTCAAAGGTCACCTGGGGACTTGGGATGGGGAAGGAGCATCTGGCACAAGCTGATTGGTCTGAAGTTCTAGGCTCCCCGGCCTCCATTGAGGAGGCTGCCATTCTGTTGTAACTCACCCAGAAAGGGCTGTACCAAAAACCTTGGGGTAGCCTTGTCAAAGAAGGATACTCACCAGTCACTAGAACTTTAATGGCCAAGTATGATGGGTAAAACTGCCTTCCCTTTGCTTCTGGTTCTGTAGAGATTTGGGGCATTCTAGATATGTAAGGGGTAACTGGAAAACCATGAGATTCATGTTTATACATATGTTTCCAAAAGGAACCATAACCCTACATGTTATCATGTTAAAAACACATGAGAGCATATTATATGAGTCTGACCAGGATAATCTAGAAGTGCCCAGCTGGATTTGAATAAATTGAAAGTCCCAAAGTTCCTACTTCTCTTAAATGGCTTAGAAAAGTCTTGGCACTAGCTAAGCCAGCTTCAAGGAGGGCATGTTTCCCATGTTCTGTATTGCAAAAGTGTCAGGGGTAGTTGGTCCAGAGATTGGTTTGGAAGCCTTGACCTTATCAGGTAGGTCTTTGATGTCTGAAAGTATCCTGAAGCAGTGAAAGATAATTATTTAGCATCTCTGTTAACATGTCCTCTCCCCCCTCCCCCATCGCTTGGCTACCTTTGGGGGAAGTGCTTAAAGGAAAAAAAAAAACATGGCTTCACAACATGGCTACTGGAATTAACCAGAGCACAGTGAATATTTACTGAGCACTTATTATTTGAGATAAAAAATTTTAGATGAGCCCCCATTGCCCAGTACTTACAATACGGTAGGGGATGAGATAAGAATAAAGCTATAGTATGCATATCATAATAATGATAAGACATTAGAAAGATGGAAACCAGATGGCACATGAGGTTTGAGAGGGAAGGTCATTACCAGTTGGGAGCTCAGAGGAGGCTTTTTGGAGGAGTTGGCCCTTGAATTGGACTTTGAAGGACGTGGTGGGAGGCAGAAGAGTATTTCTGGCAAGGGGAATGGTGTGAGCCAAGGGACAGAGGCCAGAAAGCTCAGAATCTGTTGGAAGGACTGGAAGATTGGGTGGCAGTCCTTGAATGCCAGGATGAAGAGTTTGTATTTTATGTGATTGACAGTAGGGAGCTAGTGAAGACTTTTGAGTGAGGTAATGGCATGAGAAGATCTATGTATAAAAAAGATTAGTCTTCCATCAGTTTAAACTCTGGATTGGTGGGGATAGAGAGAAGAGCAAGGACAACCTGTTTGAAGGCAACTTCTATGATCTAAGCAGGTGATGAATAGAGACTGGTATAAGGTGGTAGCAGTGGAGAGGGATGGAAAATAACTGTGTAATAGTATAGTTTCACATATATGTGCATATATATATATACACATACAGATAGTTTTTGCTTTATGCAAATTCATGTTATGCAAATTCTATTTTAAATAAAGAATTCTGAAAGAAATCCACATTCCAAAAAAAAAAAAAACCACTTATGTGAACTTGACCCAACTGTGCTGTCTCTGCTCCTGCCGCTTGGCTTGGCATTCTGGGCCTCTTCCATTCCTCCTCCCACTCTCCCTCCTCTTCCCCCCTCCCCAAAACAGCTTTTAAAAAAACATCTCCAAGTGAAAGCAGAAGGGAAGCTGGGAAAGACTGCCCCACTGACTGATGATAGGCTTGGCTTAAGACCTCCTGAGCTGGGAGAGAGACTTTTGCTCTGATCCATCCACTGGAAAGCATCCTGAGTATCTGTCTTCCATTGGTGTGCTCCTGTACCCCATATCTTTTCCCAGCCTTGCCTGTTGCCCATCCTCTCCCATCTGTGTCTCTCTCTGGCTGCCTCCAACCTCTTCTTCCTCTTGTTCAGGCCAGCACCAGCCTGGGGTGAGGGGCTTTCTTGCCTCCCTCCCTCCCTTCCTATGTCTGCAGGCAAATTCATATTACATGAAAATCACTTGAAGTAGAGGTCTGTGGAATGGTCCACTTAGGTCAAGTGAGAACTGTGAGTGTGTGCATGTGTGTGTGTGTGTGTGTGTGTGTGTGTGTGTGTGTGTGTGGGAAAAAGAAGAGTGACTAAAATTAGATGAGGTCAATAAAGGAAGACTTTTGGGGTGCTTGAAATGGATTTAGAAGGAAAAAAGGACATAGTTTGAGGGTAAGAAATTCAAAGGGACATTTCAGATCAGAATTTCATGGAAAACACAGTTCTGCTAAGCTGATTAATTAGATTTGGTGACCCTTGGAGAAAATGACTCCCAAAGTCCTAGCACCTAAGCTGGCAGAGAAGAAACTTTGCTTCTGATACCAACTGGACTGCTAACTTATTGTGTGCCTTTGGGAAAGCCATTTGCCCTTTTGAGTTTCAGTTTGCCTCTCTGTAAAATGAATAGTTTGAAATCCATCTCTAAGCTCCTTCCAAGATTTGCCATTATAGAAGTCTTTGAGATGCAGTCATCTATGGAAGGAGAGATGATTTGGCAAGGCCCTGCCTGCAGCTTGATGAATCCAGTTGAATTTCCCAATCCAAGGTGACTTTGGGCATTCTTGCAGGGGGGTAGTCGAAGGTGGGGCTCTCTGGGGCCATTCTCCTTTGACTTTTGCCATAACTCACTATCATGACTAGACTGAGCATTCTTACCTGTCTTTGCTCCAGGTAAGCATCTCAGCTATAGGTTAAGCAAGGAAAGGCTTTTTGGTTTATATTTCTGCTGCCTTCAGTGTCTGCCACAAGTAAATGCTCGAAACACCCTGGAATTTGTATTCTATTAACGTAGGAAAGGACAGTGCTCGATTGACATCTTTTGATATTTACAGTTCCTTGTATATAGCAAGTAGAAGTAAATGGGTTTTTTGTGAGTCCAAAACAACCTTACATTAAAGTAATTTAACACTCTTGAGGAGTCCGCCAATGAATAGTAAAGTAAATTTTAAACCTCAGCACAAGATACAGTATGATGTGGCAAAAAAAGTGGTAGGTTTAGAGTCCTCAAAGAACTTGGGTCTGAATCCCTCTAGTCATCTCCTCCATGTGTTAACCTTGTGGGAAGTCACAGCCCCTCTCCGGGCCTCAGTTTCTTACTTTGTAGAATGACTGGTTTTCATTAGGTCATCTCCAAGTTTCCTTCCAGCTCAAAAGCTAGGATTGGAGATGTATAAAATTCCGGTCTAAGATGAGAAGTGTATAAAGTATTTAAGGACTTCAATGGCTTGTTTCAAATGTACCACCTTGTGATCTCTCTCTCTCTCTCTTTCTTTTTTAAAATCAAGTGATGCAGTTTGGAAAAGGAAAGTCCTGTTACTATCGCTTCCTGACAAAAGGCCAGCAGTGGATTTGGCTGCAAACTCACTACTACATCACTTATCACCAGTGGAATTCCAAGCCTGAATTCATTGTTTGCACACACACTGTAGTTAGGTAGGAAATTTTACTTAATGTGTTTGTCTATTCACTTTTCCCTTTTGGTTAGAAGGTAAATATTTTACCATCTGTATGGTCTTAACTGTAAAACTAATTCATGGAAGAACTTGGAAAACTGGCATGTCAGACTTGGCTTTCACTTCTTAATGTCCAGGTCATTGGAATGCAAATCAGCCATAGCTGCAGCTGTTAATGCTCCGTTGGTGTGAACAACAGTGTCACATGTAGACATTCATCATATCCATTGTGTCTTTCTCTCAAATAATTTTGATATTGGGTACAGGGCTACTCTATTACCTGAAGAGAGATCTGGAGATTTTCCTTCTTCTTCTTCTTCTCCTTCTTCTTCTCCTTCTTCTTCTTCTTCTTCTTCTTCTTCTTCTTCTTCTTCTTCTTCTTCTTCTTCTTCTTCTTCTTCTTCTTCTTCTTCTTTTTTTTACAGAGGGCAATTAATTTCAATTTATAGGCAGCCTTTAGGCTGAGGATATATCTATGTCGATCCATTTGGTGCAAGCTTTCTGATTGAATCAAAAAGGTCGAATCTGTGAAAGAACTGATCAGTTTCACTTTTAAAAACAGCTGTTTGCATGTGCAGATATCTATGTACAAGCTATATTAAGATTTCCATGACTTATGGTTTACATAAGAGGGTCTATTAGGGATTAATTCCATCTAAAGTCATGTTTACATGATGCTGAAATGTGAAATCAGATCTTCAGGTCAGTAAGAAATGTGTCTAATTGATTTGGTTGACATTTGTAAACAGAGTATCCAGAAAACCCAATTAAATTCACTAGATGTTTTGATGCCATGTAAATAATCACTTCTAAAATATAATCTATTTTTAAAAGGCCCAAATATATGTACATCTATATGTATAATCAAACTGTCTTCACGTTTCTGAAATCATAAATGTATGAATTCAGCCAAATAGAATTAAGATTAGAGATCTTGAAAATATCGAATGGAAAATTTCGGTTGTCCTTCCCTTTTTGAATGATTAGGTCCCTGGCCCTTTTCATTTCTTGGCTTCTGTCTCCATCAGGGGACTCACATATGTCATTGCACTGCTAGCTTGCTCATTTATGACCTTATTTTTCATGTATGTCCTATCAGTCTCTGAAGTATAGATTCTCATCCTTGGAAACCACGGGGATTTTTGCTCTCTGATATTCACCAGAAACTCCTCTAGAATGGAAATGCATTGCTGCAATGATTCCTTCTCTGTTGGTAAACTTGTGTTTCTGCTTGCAACACTCCCCTCCAAACAACTTTAAACCAATAAATATTGCTTGAATGAGCCTGGGACTAGTGGAAATAAACTGTCTTCCATGAAGATGAGGCTAGAGTCTTACTACAGCCATGGGGATTCTCATTTCTCAGGCAATGAAAATGAATTGCAAATGCACCAAAGAAGGTGGACTTTTTAGAATTACAGTAAAACCAAATAAAATTTGGGCTGAAGTAGTTGGGCTTTTAAAGACTGAGTAATGGAGAGTTCACCCACATGCCATCCGTTAGCATAATCAGGGAGGCAGGACAGCTGAGCTGTGAGAGCAGGCAGACAGCAGCAGCTGCTGTCATTAGCCCTAATGAGGGTACCAGCCTCTGCCCCAGTCCAAGGCTGGCTGTTGGTGGCTTAGAAAAGCAGAGATTGGCTGCGCCTGGGAGCTGCTGTTCCCTAAGCCAGTCTCTAAACTATATAGTAGATGATGTTATAAGAGAGGCAGATGAGGCCCAGCCTTGGTAGAGCAGCGAGGCTATGAGGAGTCTAGTTCCCCCAGTAATTTTCCCTGTGTGTTCCTTGGGAGTGCCATGCCGTGGGTTGTGCAATAACCCAAACCACATAGAATGGAAGAGCTCTGGGCAGTGGTGACTCTTTGCCACATGGCTGTGTTCTTAGCAATATCTTCTGTGCCTTTCCATATTCAGACACTGCCTTTGATGCTTGCTCACCAGCTGGGTGACCATGACCAAGTCACCTCGGTTTCCTTCTCTGGAAACTAGGAAAGGTGACACCTATAGTACCTCTCCCATGGTTGTTATGAGGCACAAAGGAGAATGGAAATCCATAACATAAATCTTATGTCTTAGCGTCAGATCATTGTGACTGTATCTGGGAATAAGATTAAGCTCTGAAGTACCACTGAAGAAAGTTTACTCTCTCTTCTTTTGTCTAGTTATGCCCAGATTCAGGCTGAAAGAAGAAAAGAACTTGGCCTTGAAGAGCCATCGGCAACAGAAATGGCCACTGTACCCTTCAAGGTGTGTAGATGGAAAGCCACAAAGACTTTTCCTGGGTTAAAGTTTCACACCCTTTCTTGTGGTACTGTTCATGGTACTGTTGGGGGTAATTGTCCATTCCATTTCCCAGCTCCAAACCCCCACCTGTGTGTTTCTTTGTACCTGACCAAGCCTGCTGACATAGAAATCCAAACCAAAGACATTTCATGAAATAACAAGGAATCGAATTGGGTATCGAGCACTCTTGGCACCCATTCCCAAATGGCTGCCACCTTCAGCATGTCTCCTGGAAATACTAGCGGCATCTCATTGAATCCTTCTCTGTCCCCAACACAGCAAGAGAAGGACATATCAGTTCATCCACAGATAGTTGCATGGCTCTTAGGCACAACAACTAGGGAGCAATGTGGAGATCACTTTTGGCCTTACTTGGTACAATAAGAGTAGCAGTCTCATATGCACTGACCCCTTTCTGCACTGAAGCCCATGATTTTTCCTCATTCCCCCAGTTATTAATGTCTTCCTCCAAAATATTTTGTTTCTATCTTGTATTTACTTATCTGTGAACATGTTGTTGATCCCTAGTAGGATGGAAGCTCCCTGAGGGCAGGCACTGTCTCACTTGTGTAGCTGTGTCCCCAGCGCTCAGGACAGTGCCTAGTACACTGCAGGTGCTTAATAAATGCTTGTTGGTTGGAATATACTGACCTCTGTTGGTGCTGCAGTCTCTTTTGCTGCACATCTTTGGCCCAGCCTGGATAAAGTGAGTGTTTTTTCCTTCTGTCTATTTTATGTCTTCACATCTCCAGCCTCCCTTTGCTTAAAGCATGCTTACCCACTCAGAGTCCTTGGGTGGGTAATATCACCATGCTGCAGTGTCCACAGTGGCTTCTAAGAGGTAGCATCCAAAGAGAATTTCCTCCAATTAGGAAGGCTTTCTCAACTCCAGGCATTATGGGAAGTGGGTCCATGCACAGACACTCCCAATTATTTCAGAATAGAACCTTAAGCAGTTTAATACTTCATTAAGCCAGAATATGTCCAAGCATTTCTGTTTAAGGCTTTCTTCCTCATATATTAATTTCTTTTACTTGCTGCTTTGGTCCATATGGGTTCATGAAATTTCTTGAGCTATATAGTAAAAATCAGTAGAACTAGGTCCTTTATTTCAAATGTAAAGTGCTACAGGATGGAATTTGTTGGCTAATATTCTCCTTTTGAGAAAATATAGAATCTTTACCTGCCCTCAGGGCAGGTCTGGTCTGGCTACGAGGTGACTAGGGCCAGATGCCTTGGGTCTCCTAGTAAGGACAGCTATTTTCCCTCAATTTATTTATTTTTGTTTTTCTCAATTACATATGAACAAAAAAATGTTAACGTTTTAAAAAATTTTGAATTCCAAATTATTTGCATCCCTCTTCTCCTCTATACTTGAGAAGGCAGACAATTTGATATAGACTAACATGTGTAGTCATGAAAACCATATTGCAAAATATGTTGCAAAACAAAACATAGACAAAAAAAAAACCAACCCAAGAATAATAAAGAAAGTAAAAAAAGTCTGCTTCAATCTGCATTCAGGCTCCGGTAGTTCTTTCTCAGGAGGCGGATAGCATTTTTTGTCATAAATTCTTTGGGACTGAAAGACAACAAACATTTATTAAGAATCTTCTATATGGGGGAAATATACATTCATTACCTTTGGAAGTAGAATATTTGAATAAGATGAGGTTCCAGGCCTCAGGGAGCTTATACAGAATCTCTTGAGGAGAGGGGCTTGGTGACAGTTCTACATATTTGCGTAGGCCTCTCTCTGCCTCTTGAGGTCCATAGACCTTCCATTTAATCTGGGGCCCCACGGAGGCCTCCTTGCCTTAGGCCACGCCCATCCAAATGCCTTTAGGATGAGAAAACTCAACCCTAATTTTAGACATTCTGTGCAAACTTCATTTTTGCCCTGTTCCAGATGACTTTTACAAAGTCAGGGTGAGCTAAAACAGAGGTGTCAAACAGGCATCCACAACCCAGTGAGGCCTGAACTAGATTACAATGTAATTGGGAAATATTTAACAAAATAAATAAAAATCCAGTAAACCATAGATAACTTTACATTTTAAAACCAAGTCAATATGTGCCTGGCCTGCGGGGATCTTTCTGTAGGGATTAGTGGCTCCCTTCTTAGCTGGGTTTGATCTATTAAGAGAGAAATGTTGAAAGAGCATGTGATTGCTTCCCTGGCTACAATTTCCCTTAGTTAGAGCTCCTTCACCTCATTTGCATCGTAGACCCCTTGGACAGTCTGGAAAAGCCTATGTCCACCTCCTCGGGAACATGTTTTTAGATATATAAAATATAGATGATTTCAAAGGAAACCAGTTATGTTGCCATACTGTTATCAAAGTATTATGAACAAATAAAAAACCAACTGCATTACAAGACTCCAGGTTAAGAACTCCTGGACTAGATGAATTTGGAAAAGCCTTGCACTATGATTCTGCATTACATATGCATTTATTCAATTTAACAAACATTTCTTAAGCACCTACTCTGCGCAGAATACCATGCTAGTATGTCTAAAACCACCAAGTGCTAATTCCCACCTTCTTACTCTGGCCAGGGAGCGTGAGCATATGTGAGTGATCCTAGTAAAGGGAGCCCTTTGGTAGACCTCTTTCTCATCCTCTCCCCTAAACCTGTGGGATTTAGGATGTAGCTACCAGTATAAAGAGAACTCATTGCCATTCTTTGCTACTGCTGGCTTATCCCACTCAGATCCCGTTGCAAAGAATTTGCTTTGTTCGGCCTTTGGACTTTAACCAATTTGTTTATTGTGATGTTGTCAAAGGCTCTGTGTTGCTATCCTTGTTTGAGCTTGTTTTGAGAATGCATAGCTTATAATTCCCATGATCTCTGCCCTTTGTCCCATTCAATCATTTTTGGGTGCCACACAAGAAGGAGTGGTTCCATGGTAGGCACTAAATTGTTAACAGCAATTTCCAAGATTGGGTAAATGTGATATGTGTGAAAGAGCTCCGCTTTGGGTAGACTGGTCTGTTGAGTTTGGAGGTTATTTTTTTCCTTTGAAGTGAAATGTTGTTTTATATTGTTTTCTTTTTCTCCTAAACAAATGAAAAAATAGAGCTCTGACAATTTCACGGATATCTCTCAGTGTGGAAACAGCCTGGACGTGAGTAGAGAGAGAGCATCTGGGTCATCCCATGGTTCCTGTAGGCCATCCCTCTCGGTCCTGTCCAATTCAGCCTGTATGTATTCTGCAAGGTTGACACAGTGTTGCCCAAGAAATCAGAATTTACAAAGTAAGAGCCGTCACAAGGAAAATGCTCCTGTAAACGCTCCTCTATTTGACCATCAAAGCTCTTATGAATTTCCCTAATCTTTGGGTTTCGAGAGTTGTTGCTGGGGAGCCAGAGCCACACCGAAAATTGTTTTATCAGTGGTTAAAATGTTAGCAAATGTAATATTTTATCAGCTGCCCCTTTCACTTGTGTCTGATAAGGATTTATAGTATTTCTCACACTTCTCTGGAGGAATAGTGTGAGTTTCTTCAGTTTTCTCAGTTGCACACGTTGACATAGTCCAGTTGTAGGTTTTGTTATTAATTGTTGATGGCATGTTGCTTTCTTTGTTTCTTTGTTTTTTATTTGTTTTTCAAGAAATGGCATTTGAGGAGCATTGGGGAACCTGGGGGCGTTTATTCATCTGCTTCAGAAATAGTAGAAATGTAGGGGAAATCATTGTGCCTAATCCTGTGCAATTCCAGTGGGGCATCACAAGGTTCTTCTGGGCAGGTGTAACTTCCTGGGCACTGATGCCTTTGAACAAGTTGGTTCTGTTTTTTCTTCTGGGGTTCTATAACCAATGAACTCTCAGAATTTACTAGTCTTAAATATAGTTGTGTAGGAGAAGGAGTATGTGACCTCTTTTAGGGAGGAATGAGAAAAGAAATGGTAATCACATATGCCTCTGCTCCTGGGACTGTTCCATCTCTAGTGGCTACATGTTTAGAGGGCAGCCAGGCTCAGCTACTGGGACAGTGAGGCCAGACGTGGCTACCAGGGGACCTTGACTCTGCTGTCATGGAGCCCTAGTGAGTAGGTGCCAGGAAGTGACAGCAGTAGAAAAGCAGGGTGGACTGGTTCCAAATGGGACAAGACTAATATGGAGATTCTTTTGTCACATGGAGCTTTGATACATGTCAGTAAGAGAGCCAGGTAGGTTTGAGACTGGGGAAAAAGGAGAGGAAGATGTGAAGTTGGGCCTTCCACCAGGGGCTTTTTGGCAGTGGTGGGAAGGAGAGACCATGGCCCAGGTGCAAGGGATAGCCTAGATCAGGGGTGGGGAACCTTTGGCCTCAAGGCCACATGTGGCCCTCTAGGCCCTCAAGTGTGGCTCTCTGACTGAACCAAACTTCACAGAACAAATCCCCTTAAAAAGATTTGTTCTGTAAAACTGGGACTCAGTCCAAAGGCCACACCTGAGGACCTAAAAGGCCACAGGTCTCCACCTCTGTCCTAGCAAAGGGATCCCATTCCTGAACTGCTTTACAAGTTTGCAAAGTGCTTTACATAATACAGTCTGGCTTTTATAGGCCCTTTCAGCTTTAAATCCTATGACCTCTTGGGGTAGGGAGGGTAAATTTATGTCTCCTTTTTGTGGATGTCGAAACTGAGTTTTAGAGAGATGAAGATCACTCAACTAGTACATGTCAGAGTCAGGACTTGAACCCCGGGCTTTTCCAACACTATTGTGGTAGGTTTTCATTATATCTTACCAATGCAGGGCACAAAGAATGGGGGGGGGGCATGCAGGATGTCCTTGAAGATAACATAATAGGATGCTTGAGGTAAAAAGGGGTGGGTGGGCTACAACATTTGCAGTGCTGTTATTTTTAAAGGTGGAAAAAGGACCAGGAGCTATACATTTCACAAACCCAAATGAATGTAAGAGTAGAAGCGCTCTGGTGGGAGGCAGAGAGAGAAACTCAGCCCCTTGAAGTGATCTCTTTAACTGTGGAGCTTTCTAAAAGTGGTGGTGGGCCTCCATAATAACTGAATAGAATATTCTGAAGGTAGCTGAGTTAGAAATGGACCAAGTTCCAGGTGAAGGGGTTGGCAAGTCTGCTAAGGTTTTCAGTTCAGGTTAAATTGTTAAGGGCTGAGATTTCCCTTTCCCTGTGATTTAAAGTGCCAAGAATGGTATTAGCAGAATAGCATGGACAGTTAGGTTTCAGAGGGCTAATGAAAAGGTGTAATATTGCCCTTCCATGTCTGCAGGACCTTTGAGTTCACATGCATTAGATCATCTGAACTTCACAACTTTGTGAGGGGGGCAGGGCCCTCATTTTACAGATGAAGAAACTGAGGCCCAGAAAAGCCAACTGATTTCCCCAGCGTCCCATAGCAATTTAGCAGCAGAACTAGGACTGGACCCTAGGTCTTTAGATTCTGAGGCCAACGTGCTTTTCTACTATGGCCTACTTCCCTGAACCACTTGGCAGAGTCCTTTTTATTTAAAATTATAGGTAATACAGTGCAACTTTGCCATCTGGAGGTGGATTGTAAGTGGATTTAGTGTTCTCTTTTTGAGGATCATATGATATCTTTTTTTTTCCAAGAGCAGAAAGTCTCAAAACAACCCTTTTCTCTGCCTCATGCCCCCAGCTCAGTGATTCGGCCACCGTAGAGTTGTAGGAAGGGAGAGTTGATCATTTTTACAACACTGGCAAACAGAAAGTAGCTGGCGATGAGTCTAGAGATATTTGTGTTCCAGGTACAAGCAGACAGGTGCAAGGCCCCGCTCGTGCCTCCGTGGATGGAATCCAGTCCACGGCTGCCTTTTTTAGAAATGAGTTCTTAGCAGATGTTTGCATGCTGTGCAGAGGGAGTCCAGGTGCTTAGAGGCATCATCAGCCCATCTCTCCTACCTTCTAAGGAAAAGAAAATAGGATGGGACTTAGTCATGAGATTAGAAAAAAAAATCGCCCTGTTCTCTTTTCTAATACTGATCTTCTGATTTTGTTTGTTACCTGTTGAATCTCTCCATCTCAGCCAAACTGTCACTGCCGCCCAGAAGAGCCAGCAAGGCGCCGGTGAGGTGGGCTCTGCCCATGGACCAACCAGCTAAGACATTTGATAAGGCATTCTCCAGGGAGGTAGCCAGCAGCAGCAACAGCAGCAGCAGCAGCAGCAGCAGCAGCCAGGTACCTCCCTCCAGGCTACTTAGGATGGGGGGGAGCCTCCATTCCCCTTCCACAGTAGTGGAACAGTCTCTGTATTATGGGAGAACAAACTCGTCTTGTTGGACCTGAAATCCTCTAGCAAACCACCCCTACTAACAACCTTTGGGGGCATTGGCATCACCCCTGCTCAAGTCATGTACGTGTTCATTCCTTGATTCAACAGAAATGTATTCAGGTCCCTTCTCTATGATTAATTACCTGTGCTAGGTGTTGGGGAGAGGGAGAAGGCAGGGGAATACAGAGTCCTTGCTTGTCTGAAATAACTTGGATACCTAATAAAATGTGCTAAGTATGTAAGAGCTTGTATAGTCTGGGAGGTCAGAGGAGGGAGAAGACCCTTCTGACTGGGTGGAGGAGTGCAGGGCAGACCAGTGAAGGCTTCATGGGGCCAGTGGCACCAGAGCAGGGCCTAGGAGGCTGGGGAGACTTTCCATTGGATATTTGGATATCATCCTTATTTCTGTTCACTTGGTTTCTGAAACCAAGCAGGAGGTGGAGGAGAAGGACCTTTTAAACCAGAACATTTAAGGATACCTCTTGCTCCCAGGGAAGCGAGGGAACAAGTTTTGCTTAGAATAGCGTTTTGTTTTGTTTTGTTTTTTAAATCCTTCTCTTTTTATTTTCTTTTCTTTCTCACTTTTTTTTATTAATTTATTTTGAGTTATCAACAACACTTCCATAAGCTTGTGAATTTTAAATTTTTCTCCCCCTCCCTTCGCATCTCCCTCCCCAAGATAGCGTGCAATCTGATATAGGCTATACATAACATTGCTATTAAACATTTTCATATTAGTCATGTTGTAAGGAAGAATTAGAACCAATTGGAAGAACCACAAGAAAGAGAAAACAAAACAAAACAGAAGCAAAAATAGCAAATAGTATGCTTTGATACTGCATTCAAACTCCATAGTTCTTTCTTTGGATGTGGATGGCATTTTCCATCGTGTGACTTTTGGAAATGTCTTAGATCCTTGTATTGCTGAGAAGGGTTAAGGCTGTCAATATTAGTCATTGCACAACGTGGCTGTTACTGTGTACAACATTCTCCTAGTTCTGCTTACTTCATTCAGCATCAGACCATACAAGTCTTTCCAGGTTTTTCTGAAGTCAGCCTGCTCCTCATTTCTTATAGCACAATAGTATTCCATTACATTCATATACCACAGCTTGTTCAGCCATTCCCCACTTGATGGGCATCTCCTCAATTTCCAATTCTTGGCCACCACAAAGAGAGCTGCTATAAAAATATTTTTGTACATGTGGGTCCTTTTCTCATTTTTATGATCTCTTTGGGATACAGCCCTAGAAATGCTATTGCCAGGTCAAGGGTATGCACATTTTTATAGCCCTTTGGGCATAGTTCCAAATTGTTCTCCAAAATGGTTGGATCAGTTCACAACTCCACCAACAATGCATTAGTGTTCCAGTTTTTCCACATCTTCTCCAACATTTATGATTTTCCTGTTTTATCATGTTGTAGGCCAGTGTTTTCCATCAGTCTTAGAGGTTCATTCTGCCCATCCCCAGGGAGAAAGTGGGAAAGAGAAATGGGGGATTGGGGTAGGTATGAAAGAAGGTTGGTGGCAAGATGGGGAAGCTTGGCAGGTATTCCCAGACCACCTTCATTACTGAAGTTCAAAGATTGTGAATTTCCACAATATTAGATATATACCCAGTGAAGTAGAAATGCCTCAATGCAGAGCTTGGCAAGAACTTAATGCTGTTTTCCATCTGTATTACTGACCTCCCCACCACTGCAACTACCACCACCACTGCAACTACCACCACCACCGCAACTACCACCACCGCAACTACCACCACCACTGACAACATCACCACCACCACCGCAACTACCACCACCACCGCAACTACCACCACCACTGACATCATCACCACCACCACCGCAACTACCACCACCACCGCAACTGCCAACACCACCGCAACTGCACCACCACCGCAACTGCCACCACCACTGACAACATCACCACCACCACCGCAACTACCACCACCACGCAACTACCACCACCCGCAACTGCCACACCACCGCAACTGCCACCACACTGACAACATCACCACACCACCGCAACTACCACCACCACCGCAACTACCACCACCACCGCAACTACCACCACCACCGCAACTACCACCACCACTGACAACATCACCACCACCACCGCAACTACCACCACCACCGCAACTACCACCACCACCGGAACTACCACCACCACCGCAACTACCACCACCACCGCAACTACCACCACCACTGCCAACATCACCACCACTGCCAACATCACCACCACCGCAACTACCACCACCACCGCAACTACCACCACCACCGCAACTACCACCACCACCGCAACTACACCACCACTGACAACATCACCACCACCACCGCAACTACCACCACCACCGCAACTACCACCACTGACAACATCAACCACCACCACCGCAACTACCACCACCACCGCAACTACCACCACCACTGACAACATCACACCACCACCGCAACTACCACACCACGCAACTACCACCACCACTGACATCACCACCACCACCGCAACTACCACCACCACCGCAGCTACCACCACCGCAGCTACCACCACCACCGCAACTACCACCACCGCAACTACCACCACCGCAACTACCACCACCACCGCAACTACCACCACCACTGACAACATCACCACCACCACCGCAACCACCACCACCGCAACTACCACCACCACCGCAACTACCACCACCACCGCAACTACCACCACCACCGCAACTACCACCACCACCGCAACTGCCACCACCACCGCAACTGCCACCCACTGACAACATCACCACACCGCAACTACCACCACCACCGCAATACCACCACCACCGCAACTACCACCACCACCGCAACTACCACCACCACTGACAATCACCACCAACCCACCGCAACTACACACCACCGCAACTACCACCACCACCGCAACTACCACCACCACCGCAACTACACCACCACCGCAACTACCACCACCACTGCCAACATCACCACCACTGCAAATCACCACCACCGCAACTACACCACCACCGCAACTACCACCACACCGCAACTACCACCACCGCAACTACCACCACCACTGACAACATCACCACCACCACTGACAACATCACCACCACCACTAACAACATCACCACCACCACCGCAACTACCACCACCACCGCAACTACCACCACCACCGCAACTACCACCACCACCGCAACTACCCACCACTAACAACATCACCACACCACCGCAACTACCACCACCACCGCATCTACCACCACCACCGCAACTACCACCACCACTGACATCACCACCACCACCGCAACTACCACCACCACCGCAACTACCACCACCACCGCAACTACCACCACCACCGCAACTACCACCACACGCAACTACCACCACCACCGCAACTACCACCACCACCGCAACTACCACCACCACCGCAACTACCACCACCACTAACAACATCACCACCACCACTAACAACATCACCACCACCACTAACAACATCACCACCACCACTAACAACATCACCATCACCACTGCAACTACCACCACCACTAACAACATCACCATCACCACTGCAACTACCACCACTAATAACAACGTCACCTCCCCCCCCCCACCCCAGCAGGTATTGTGCTGTGGCTTCCACTTCTTTCCTTTGGTGTGCCTGGAACCTGAGTATACTGTATGAGCTCAGGCAGGCCACGTTGATTTGCCCTATTGACTTGATATCAGAAAGCTATTTCTTCACATATCAGACCCCCTCCCCTCATTGTGAATGCTCTGAAATGGCTACCCCAATGGTAAAGGCAAGCAGTATGAAGCTTCTCATTCATTCCTGTCTCTGCTCTCTGTCCCTCCCCAGGGCCTGCAGTTTCCTCAGACCTTCACTGAGCATCTTGCCAGACACCTTGTGGCCTCAAGGAAAATGCCCATGGTATCCTCTCAACCAGAAGCTATGGTATTTTTCTTTCAACCTTATTTTCCTTCCAGATGAAGAGACACGTCATAGCATGAGATATAGCACAAGACAGAGTGAAATAACACACTTGGAGAAGGGGCTTTTTTTCATTTTTTTTTCTTTTTGCCTCTTAGCCTTTTATGCTTTTCCACTTCAGGTGAACCGGTCTAATGACACCAGTTGTTTCTAGCCTCTACACCCCATTTTAATTCTTCTTACTCAAACTGTTTTTAAACAGTCTCCTTTAAATTGTGACATGAGTTGACTGTGTTATCCCAGTTTGGAAGTGGGGAAGGGGATGGAGTAAGGGAATGTTGTTGACAGCCTGGTATTAAGTAACTTGCCCAAGTTCACACCATGTAAGCCAATGAACCAAGAGGAGAAGATAGGGAGGGAGAGAAGGAAAAGAAGGCTTTGAACAACCATGCTGCATCAGAGTCTCTAGTGGCGCTGAGCTTAGGCTGCAGGGTTAGCATGGTATCTGCCTTGTAGGCCTAGAGTCAGAGTGAGGACGAACTTCATTCTTGGAATCTGGAGATCTAAGTTTAAGGCCTGGATCTGACATTAGGGGCTGTGTGACCTTAGGCAAATTACCTTAATTCTCCCAACCTTTGGATCTGGGGCCATAAAAGCCAGATAATCATACTTGCCCTACCTGGCATTTCATAAACCTTTCAGTGCTTTAGAAATGTTTTTTGCAGCTTCTCTCCTCCCCTCTTGGGGGGGGGTGACATACAGTTTGGAAGGATGCATAGAATAAAAAGCCATGTTCCAACAGACACCTGCTGGATTAGCAGGCTCGAATCAGGGGTGAGCCATGGCCTCCTCCGCTTCTGAAGGCTGCTGCTGAGAGGGGGCAATCAGAGAGAATAGAATTCTTGCCCCTTCACATGGCAAGCAGAGACTTCCCCCCCATCCCAAGCCATCAAAATGCCACTTTCATGATGATTCATCTAAATGCTCAGCAAAGAGGCAATTTTCCAAGATGAACGTTAGATTTTTCAGAGTAAAAAGGAGAGGTATTAACTGAAACACTATAATTTATATTACCAACAAGAGAGCCAGATTAGATTCTGAATTTGCCTCAGTGGTGTTTGTGACCCCACCCGAGAACAAAACTTTGTGGGTTTCTTTCCTGCCTCTTTGGATGCTGTATTGTATAATGGAAAGACCTCTGGCCTGGCAAGGCAGGACACTTCCATTTCAGTGCTGGCTCTGCTATCAACTCACAAGTGTGTTCTCCTCTGAGCCTCAGTTTCCTCCTCTGTAAAATGGAGAAATTGGATGACATCTGTCAGATGACATGTAGGGTCCTTCTCAGCCCCAACATTTTAGAGTTCTTAGAGCCAAAAGGCCCCTTTAGAAGTCATCTAGTCCAGCACACTCATTTTACCAGACTTCAGGAAATAGAGACCTGGAGGGATTGGGATTGGCCTAGTGTCACAGTCAGGATTTGAACCTATGTCCTCTGCCTCTCCATGGGTGCCCTTTCACCATATCATACTGTCTCTTAGCACCTAAAAGACCCCCCATTTCCCTGGCCTGCATCTGGAAAGCATTGGGCCCAGCTTTTTCCAACCAGTGGCTTCTCTTTGCAGCCTCTACTCCCCTCTCCAGAGGAGCTTGGGGTGGTGCAGCAGCTCAAGGAAGACCTGAAAGGACAAACTCGGGCATTACAGGCTGACATCGAAACCCAGAAGCAGGAGCTCCATGCAATCAAGGACTGTCTGCAGACTGTGCAAGATCCTGACTTCCAAACACGTCAAGGGACGCTCGGCTCCTTTCCAGCAAAGACAACATCTGGCCTGCACCCCGAAGAGAGCACATCTCTTTCCTTGGCACTGCCTGTGTGTATAGTTCCATTTTCCTCCAGTGATTCACTTGTGTTCTGTGCATTCTCATTTCTAGCCCCAGGTCAAAGAATTGGGAAATAAGCCCTTTCTCTGCTTTAGCTCCCACTACGCATTCTTCTTTGGAGTGGCAGGAGGGTTGTCTGTACATGGGAGAAAAAAAGTCAGAGCCCCCACCTGGCCTTTCTTTGCCACATGGAAGCTCCCTACTTAGTGGTGTAGCTGATTCTGAGAGGTTTGTTGACAAATTGGAAGCAGCACATAGAGTGGGCTTCCAAAACGAAGCATGAGGCCTTGAAAGGGAAGCAACTTTGCTAGGGATTTGTTAGACTTCAAACCTGTCTGTGTTGCTTTTTCAGTCAGGACTGGCCAAAACAAATCATAGGAATGGTCGCATATGTGGTAGAGTCCTGTTTGGTGCTGAAAGAGATAAAGAGTTTATGAAAGACCCCATCCCTGCCCTCATGGAGCTTGTGGTCTAGTAGAGGGATGAGGCAGAGAGAAAGAGAGAGAGAGAGAGAAGAGAGAGAGGAGAGAGAGAGAGAGAGAAGAGAGAGAGAGAGAGCGCTTTTATGTATGATAAGTACATTAGAAGTACAGATCCAGTGCTTCAGAAGGTGGGAGAGAGCAAGTCAACAGGACTGAGGAAGGCGTGAGGAAAAATTCCATATGGGAGGGGAGGGAGCAACTGAGTTAGACTTGAAAGAATGGGTCCCCTAAGGACCCAGTGAGTGCCAAGATCAAAGGCATGGAGGCAGGGAGTTCAGGGCTTATTTGTGGGAGAGAGCAGTCTGGTTTGCTGCCCTGCGGTCCAGGCACACAGGTTACATCTCAGAAAGCTCTTCCTAGCTTGGACTCTCCTGAACTAAGTCATTTTCAAACTGTTTGACTTTTAAGGGTCCCCTGAAGGCATAGTTCCCTTTCCAATTCAATCAAGGAACTCATTTACCACTGGTAAAGGCAGCCGCTGGGCATGGCTGGGCATCTGTTAGTTAGTTTAACACCTCATTATCTTCTTTTTACTTTCTTTGATTGCATTCTGGGCTTTCTGATCGGGGAGGGGTCAGGAAGTGACCAAAGACAAATTCCTTTCTAGCTGTAACAGGCTTTGGAGAAATGAGGAGGAAAGAAATCGTGTTGGTTTTTCAGAAATGCTGCATTTTGAGGGAGGTCAGTCTCCACATGTGGGGGCAAATTGACACACAGTTTCAAGGTAATGCAGGCCAGCTACCTTGTAGAGAATAGTCCAGCATAATGCACAAAGACACTGTGGGATTATCCGTGTTGATCAAAATGAACCCATTCTCCCAAATCTGGTGGGGACTCGGGTTCCTCCCAGCTAGATTATCGGCAGTGTGCTCTTGAGCCTCTTCGGCTGAGCTGCTGGGGTGGGTTCGTTATCTCCTTTGGCCCTCAAGTCCCAATGTGGGCCAGGGTTAGGCATACCAGACCACTAGGCAAGGGAACATCCAGGAATCCAGGTCAGGGTTCGTAAGGTCATAGGATCCTAGACCCTAGAGCCAGCAGGGACCTGAGAGCTCTTTGAACCCATCTCCCTCATGCTACAGTGGCAGCCCAGAGAGAAGTCACTTGCTCAGGGGCACACAGCTAGAAAGTTTTGGAGGTAGGATTGGAACCCAAGTTTTCCTGACTCCCATGGCCAACCTGTCTCCACTTTGCCACATTCCTCCTATGCAAATGCAAAGAATAGTAGCTATGGCAAACAGGAAGCCAGGTCAAGACCACAAAGCATCCAGCAAAGCTCTAAGATCACTGGAGAGTAGTTCTAGACTGTGAGGTCCCACTTGCCCCTAAAAGTCTCCCCTGTTGTCCTGGAAGTGCCTGAAATTCCCACCACTGGGGTCAGTGCCTCAGCTTTCAGTGTCTCCTCACTGAAGTCCTGGCTAAAGATGTACATATATGTGTCCTAGGATGTAAACATTCACAAACTATGCTGGATTATTTTCTCAAACAAGTTAGCTGTCATGTAGCAGGGAATGGGAGATGAGGACGGCTAAATGAGTAAGGAAAAAGGCCAAGGCTGGGGAGGCCTGAGGAGGAGGCCTCAATACGGGAGCTTCAGGCTGACACTAGGTATGGGGAACCCTAAGAAAGGAGAGTGGGTGGGCACTGAAGGCACTCTGTCTGCTGAAGATGGGGCCTGAGTCCACCAGAAACCTTCTGGGGGAGAGAAAACCCAAGCAATTGGACTTTTCCCCCAATTGATGGATGATAAAGCAGCAGACATGAGCAGTGAGTGAGCAGCACCCAGCCACCAGACTGAGTTTGGACCAGTTGGGTTTCCTATTAGCTCAAAATCCAGGGTCATCTCAGAGTTCATGTGATAGAAGTTGTTGATAGGAATATCTCTCTCTCTTTCTCTCTCTCTGCCTCATCCCTTTACTAGACCACAAGCTCCATGAGGGCAGGGATGGGGTCTTTTCTAAACTCTTTATCTCTTCCAGCACCAAACGAGACTCTACCACATATGCAAATATTCCTGTCAGTAACAATCACCTCCACTCTCAGGTCCCTAGTGCCCTAAGGCTTACCAAGCACTTGCCTTCCCCCAGTAGGGAGGCCAGCAAGCAAGCTGCAGGTGGCCCTTCTTTCTTGTGTCTTGGCAACTTCACATTTGGTGTTTGGGGATGAACTCCAAAGGAATTGGTCTAACATTTGGAAACCACTTAAGATGAAGTAGGGGGAAGGGTGGAGGTGATGCTGGTCACCAGGAGTATAGGGAAGGTATGGAGGCCTGCTTTTGTTGGGTGGATGTTGTTGGGTTTTTTTTTCCCATTAAGTCTTTGAAGCTTACGTTTCAAAGAGATTAAATGTCTGTGTTAAGGTTTGCAAAGCTCTTTACAAATAGTATTATCTCATTTGATTGTCACAACAACTCTGTCATTATTCCCATTTTACAGATAAGGAAGTTGAGGCTGAGAGGCTAAGTGACTTGCCCAGGGTCACACAGCTAAATAAGTATCTGAGAAAGGATTCAAACTCCGGTCTCCCTGACTCCTAGGCCAGCAAAGGTCCACTGTGCCACCTAGCTGCCTTAGTTTTAGACAAGCAAAGAGGCATGTCCTATCACTGATCGTGCCTTACCAAACCTGAACCCCAGATCATTCTTATTATCTGACTCCTTTGCTCCTACTCACATGTTACTGAAAGGAGCTGGAGGAAGTCAGGAAACCTTGCCTATTGAATTGGCTACAAATTTATGGTATCTAGTCTCTGTCTGGCCCTTGGGCAGCAAGGCAATCCTTCTACTGCTCTCAAATTGTTTTTCTGGCCCCCTCACCTCACTGAAGGTTCTCTCTCTTCCTGTCTCTTATGATGCCCCCTCCCCTTGCTCCCTATTCTCAGCAAGCTTCTCCTCCCCTCTTCTTTACCTCACATCTCTTTGCCAATGGACTCCCTCCCTTTCTTCTTGCCAAAGCTATGCTCCCTTCATATGTACGCTCCATCCTCCCATCTTTTCCAGCTGATTGCCCCACCAGCATCCCCACTCTATCTAATAATCTCTAATCTCTCCCCATTTACTGGTTCCTTCCCGTTGCTGACAAGCACTCTCGAATCTCCACTGTTCAGAAAACCTTCACTTGGACCTCCCATTCTGTCAAGTTATCATGCTAGATCTCTCTTCTCTGATAAGCTCCTTGAAAGAGTTGTTTATTCCCTGTGCCTCTCTTGTCCTCTCATCATCCTTCCAGTCACCCAGGCTCCAAACCTAGGTTTCGTCCCCGACTCCTCACTTGTGCTCACCCTATATATCCAATCTGTTCCAAGTCTTGTAGTTTCTACCTTCATAACATCTGTCAAATCTCTCTCTCCTCTGACACTGCTCCTACTCTGGTGCAATTCCTCATCACCTCATGCCTTGCTTATTGAAATAGCTGCTGGTGGGTCTGCCTGCCCCAAGTCCCTCCCTACTCCAATGCATCCCCCATGCAGCCACCAAAGTAATCTTCCTAAAGTGCAGGTCCAGTTATGGTGCACACCCTCCCCTGCCTCCAGCAGATATACTCAAATTCTTATTACCTTCAGGATTAAATATAAAATCTTGGATTTGAAAGCTCTTCACAACCTGGTTCCTTCCTACCTTTCCAGTCTTCTTGCACCATACTCCTTTCCACACACTGACCCAGCTACACTGACTTCCTTTCTGCTTCTTGCACATGGCACTCCATTACTCCACATGTCTACGTCTTTGTCCTGGTTGCTCTCTGTGCCTGGAATGCTCTTGCTCCTCACTGCCACTTCTTGGCATGTATGATTTCCTTTAAGACTTAGTCATTCCTGCCCCACCCCCACCTGTTAGTGTCTTCCCCTCTAGAGTTTTTTTATATTTCCTCTGTGTGTGTGTGTATAAAAATTACACACATGTAGAATATATACACACATGTATAATTGGAATGTGAACTCCTTGAGAGCAGGGATTGTTTTTTGCTTTTCTTTGTGTCTCCATACAGTGCCTGGCACATAGTCAGTGCCTAATAAATACTCGCTGATTGCTTGATGTTACACTGATGCAAAGTGTAACCAGTTTTCCTATTCTTTGTTTTTTTGTTTTGTTTTGGTTTTTTGCAAGGCAATTGGGGTTAAGTGACGTGTCCAGAGTCACACACTAGTGAGTGTTATGTGTCTGAGGCTGGATTTGAACTCATGTCCTCCTGACTCCAGGGCCGGTGCTCTATCCACTGCGACACCTAACTTCCCTTCTGTTCCTTGTTTTGGATGGTGAATGATCCAGTAACCCAGTAAAGAAGTCACAGGACTGTGCTGATGGGGTCTCCTATAAATATGTTGTCTAATCTCAGTTGGGCTCTCACTGCAGCGAGGCAATCCTTTTATTCCTCCCTAATCGGTTTCTGATCTCACTGCCCACAAAAGCTTTTCCCAATCTTCTCTTTCCTCCCCAAGCCTCCCACTCTCTTAGCTGAGGACTTTATCCCTTTCTTTCCTGAGAAAATTGAGCTTCCTTTTCTTTCCTTCTCTTTGTTTCAAGTCCCCTTGACATCTCCCCATACTCTCTCTTCCCTTCTTCCGCTTTCTGACAGTGATTTGGCCTTTCTCTTTACCATGGCCACCCTTTCTACGCGTGGTCTTGATCTTATCTCCCCCATCTTCTCCAGCAGATTGCCTCTTTCATCACCTCCCCCATCTTCTCCAGCAGATTGCCTCTTTCATCACCTCCTCCATCTTCTCCAGCAGATTGCTTTCATCACCTCCTTCATCTTCTCCAGCAGATTGCCTCTTTCATCACCTCCCCCATCTTCTCTAGCAGATTGCTTTCATCACCTCCCCCATCTTCTCCAGCAGATTGCCTCTTTCATCACCTCCCTCCATCCTCCAGTCTAAAAGCACTTCTTTTCTACTAGTTCTTTCTCTTCTGCTTGAAATTACCCAAGTGTCACAGTAGGCACTTAATAACTGTCTGTCCTAATTCATGCACCCCACCCCACTCCCCACCATTAAAATCTTCACCAAGTCCTACCATACCCTCGATGAACTCCACTGGCTCCCGTTGCCTCTAAGATAAGGTGTAAACTCCTGTGTTTGGCTTTTAGAGCCCTTCACAGCCTGAGCCCGCCCTCTCTTTCTCTTCAGGCTCATTACATTCATCACTCACCTTTCCCCTACTCTCTAGTCTAGCCAGATTGGCCTTTTCTCTGTTTCTCAGCCATTGCATTCCATTTCCCATGTCATCACCCATTTTGATAACCAGAATGTATTCCCTGAGAAGTTGGACCAGTGTTGGTTGGTAACAGGTCACATCAAGGTTAGTGCTATTTGGAAGTGCAGCCTTGGGCTTTTCCCCACCTTTCTCCTCCCCACCCAGATGCCGTTACAGCCACCTGCACCATTGAACTTCAAGCTTCCCAAGCCCCTGAAACCAAAAAAGGCATCCCAGCGGCGAACTAAAGTACCCAAGACAGCAACAAAATCCCAGCCTAATTTCGTGGAGCCCAAACCTTACAGAAGCTCAACTATACCTTCAGTCCAGTACCTTGGGGAGCCTTGCATTTCTCCCAGCCAGGTAAGGTAAAGCCACTCACATAGCTTGGGAGCTGGGGGAGCCCAGTTTTCCAGGAGTTCTGTGAACCTTGTATTTGTGGGGATGTGGCCTCAGGGCATACGATTCTACCTTTGGTCTACTAGTAGTTTCCAGCTCGGATTTTGGGAGTCCGTGGATTGCACACTTACTTGCGTATGCATTTGGCTCTTGGACAGGGAGCCAGACCAGCCTACCCAGGTGTGTAGGGGTCCATGCAGTCTCTGAGCTGGGCACCAACACCCATAGATAGAAAGGTGAGAGGGACATTTCGTTATGAAGCCGTGATGACATGTCAGCTTTCGTCATGTGATTTTGCCTACTGTTTCATCAATAATTAGAAATCTCTTTTGTCTCTGAAGCAACAGCAGCAGCAGCATCATGTGATAAATGAAAATGAGATACAAGAAATATGTGTGCAAGAGAACACTAGCATCTCCATGCCTCTCTATGGTGACCCCATGTTGTTTTCTGAGACATACTCCATCACAGTTTCAGCCGAACTGCCCATTGATTTCATTCAACAGCCGATTGAGTATGAACAAGACATCACCCTTGGGTAAGACGTTTGTGGGCTGGTGGCAGTGTTACTGGGTGGGAAGCCAGGGGGTTATTTCTCTGTCTCTTCCCTTACCTTCAGTTCTGCTGGGATACTCTCCTGTCTCTCTGACCTCATCTTCTCAGTCTCCTTTGCTTCTACTGTCCTCTCATCCAGTCATCCAGATCACTCCCCCCACAACCATGCCTTGTTCAAGACCCCCTACTGTTTTCTGGCTACCCTCTCCTTCTTGGCAACCTCATCAGATCCCATGGATTTCATTCTCATCTCTAAGCAGATGACTCCCAGTCCTGCATATCCAGCCCCTAGTCTCATCCCTGATCATCAGGTGATGGCATCCACATGGCCGACTGAATGTCTCTCTTTGAGATTTCATACTCAACATGTCTAAAACACAACTCATTCTTTTTGTCCCAAGTGCTCCTGTCTACCAGCCTTCCCTATTTCTGTCTAGGGCATCACCATTCTTCCAACCCCCAGCTTTGTGCCATCAGCATTAACCTCAGTATCTCGCCCCACATAGCCAAGAAGCTGGCTGAATTTTGCCATTTCTACATCCACCCCTCTCAGCCAGCCCCTTCTCTCTACTCACACAGCCCTCAACTCTCTTTTAAATTATTGGAATGGCCTCCTAATTGCTGTCCCTGCCTCAAGTCTCTCCCCACTCCAGTCCTTCCTACATACTGCTGCCAAAGTGATTTTCCTGAAGTATAGATCTGACCATGTAACTCAATATATTGCCTCTAGAATCAAAGATAAATTCCTTTGCTTAGCTTGTGAAGCCCTTCAGAACTTTGCCCCCACCTCTCTTTCCAGCCTCACTGCACATTCCTCCTCCTGTTGCACTTGGCAGCCCAGCCAAGCTGGCCTCCTCTCTGTTCCTCACTCACTATACTGCCTTTCCTACCTCCGTGCCTGGAATGTACTTCCTGTTTACATCCCGGAATCATTTTCCTCTAAGACTCAGCTGAAACACCACCTTCTACGTGAAGTCTTTCCTGCTCTCTGCCCTCCCTATTGTATTTAACTATTTTGCATTTATTTTCTTTTTATGTATTTCGTATATTCTTAGGCAACTATTGTTCAGGTTGCCTTCCTTATTACAAGTAGGAACTGGTTTATTTGTATCCCCAGATAGTAGCACAGTACCTGGCACATAGTAGGCGCTTAGTAAATACTTGTCAATTGATTTTTTTTAATTGTTCTGAGCCTCAGTTCTTTTACCTTTCTGATGAGCTCTGGGACTAAATAATTTTTCGAAGTCCTTTCTAGCTCTGAGAATTGCTAGTTCTATGATGTTTGATTGTTTAGACCAGGGGTGGGGAACCTTCGGCCTCAAGGCCACATGTAACCCTCTAGTCCTCAAGTGCGGCCCTTTGACTGAATCCCAACTTCACAGAACAAATCCCCTTAATAAAAGGATTTGTTCTGGGAAACTTGGACTCAGTTAAAAGGCCACATCCGAGGACCTAGAGGGTCACATGTGGGGCATAAAGTGAGGTAGAAAAAAGGTAGCAGGATGGTATCTGACCACCCTAGAAAGAGGATGGCTTAGATTGAAGCATACTATTTGCTATTTTTTTCTTCTGTTGTGTTTTGTTTCCTTTTTCTGTTGGTTCCTCCTATTAGTTCTAATTCTTACTTACACCATCACTAATGTGAAAATATGTTTAATAGGAATGTATACGTATAGCCTATATCAGATTGCACACCATCTTGGGGAGGGTGGTGAGGAGGAAGGGGAGAAAAATTTAAAACTCAAAAGCTTATGGAAGTGATTGGTGATAATTCAAAATAAATTAATAAAAAAAAAAAAAAAGAGGATGGCCTTGTCTTTACCCTAAGGCACTGATCATGAAACTTTGCTATGCCCTCCAGGCCAGTGGTCCATGGAGGCCCTCTCTGGTGCTTGCCCCATATATAGTGGGGAAGCTGAGTGAAATCCTTTCTCATCTTATCCCAGCAGGGATAAAGAGCTTTTCGTGAAGGAAACCTTCACTCATGTTAGTGGTAACTGATGCACAAAACGACTTCAGCTCAGCCCAAATTCATGTTGATTTGGATTACACTGCATGTCAGCTTTGAGATTCACAGTTAGTTTGTTTCTGGCAGTCCTAAAAGATGTTTGCTCTGAGTTTGGAAAGTTTTAGAAGAGAAATAGCTACAATTTGGTTATTATTTGATCATTCTTTTAAAAAAAATCTTATTTCTTGTGTAATTTGGCTCCCTGAAGTTAATTGGTTTCTTTCCTTATATTGCTGCCTATTAGGGAAATCAAATGGTGTGACTTATTTCTACCCTCTTAGGCTTTGTCTCTAAAGGCCAAGTGAGATCACTGATATGTGACATTCACAAGGCTGAGCTGGAGAGGCATCCTCCAAGTATGAGCTATGTCCAGCTGCCCCTTCTCCCCTCTGATTGGTACACCTAGCCCCCAGGATCGGGCAGTCTCCCCAGAACAGCCCTAGCAGGCTTCCAACTGACCAAGTGCATCTTAGTCGTGGCCTTTTTCTGGTGGTTGGATCAAAACATAAGGCCCATTTTGTTCTGATCTTTTGGAAATTATTGAAAGTTATCTCCCTGTAAGAAATGGGAAGAAGTGAGGATGAAAATATCTGGCGGATTAGTAACTAGACAAAAATTGGTATCCTTTTAAGATGTAGAATTAACCAAGTCAATGAAGTTTTGAAAAATTATCAGAGATCCAGTTGATGTCCCCAAATAAGGACAGAGTTGGGCCCTTCATATAGCAACCAAACTGCTCTGCTGGGGCTCATAGCAGCCCAGGCTGAAGGTACAGAGTATGTGGAGCAAAGTCTTCCATTTCTCCAGGCAAACTTGGATGCACTTCTGGTGACCAGGATAGATCAAGTGATGGTTTCTACCCACCCCTGCCAGTTAGCCAGAGGGAGTGGGTTTAAACCACTAGCAGAATAGCCATCTGTGCTTAAACAGACCCAGCCAGGCTAATGAGTGGAGTCCTAGAGAGTGACACAATGAATGTGGCCAGGTTCTCTGCCCCCTACCAGACAGTAGAAGTCCAGTGGGCCTTTGGAGTATTGGTCCATTAGTTTGAATAGGAGTCTACCACCTTCTTTCACCATGTCGAAGTTACGCATTAGAGATGGGGCGATGTCAACTCCTTACCCTGCTTTCTGGGGCTCAATTCCAGAAGGCTTTTAGACTTTTTCCTCAGCCTATCTTAAAATCTGAGGATAATGACACTTTGTACTGTCTACTGAAAAGAACATGGCTGGAAGCCAAAGTCAGGAGTGCCCAGAGTTTGGGCTCCCAGCTCTTCCCCTAAGTAACTGGATAACTTCTGCTCCTTCCCTTGGAGGATACCTAATTAGCACTCACATCCATATGGTGCTTGCGAGCTTGCTAAACGGGTTTTTTTCTTTTCATTCTGGCTCTCCCTATCTTACCCAGGCTGGAAGTATAGTTGCCTGGGCCTCATCTCCCTACTGATTGGCAAGAGAGCTTTGACCTGCTGTTTCTGCCCTGGACTGGTTTGTCCCTCCTGGTGGGGGGTGGCCTGGTGACCACCGTTCCCAGGGGCTCACACTGATACCAGACTTAGCCCTACTGGACCTCAAAACTCTTGACTTCAGGCAGTCCACCAGCCCCAGCTTCCCCAGTCCAATTACAAGTCCAGGCCCACATGGCCCACATGAAGAGCTTTCCTCCAAAGGGCAGTGCGAGATAAGAAGGGCAAGTATCAATACCCCCATTTTACAAATGGAAACTGAGACTTCAAAAGGCAAAGTAACTTGTGTGAATTCATATAGTAAGTACTAGAGTAGGACCTGAACCCAGGCCTTCAACCTCCCAGTCCAGTGTTCTTTCCATTGGTTCCCATGATCATTTCCCCCTCATTAGGAAACAATAAGCCCTGCCCACATTCCCTTAGTACTAGGTATGAGCATATATTGTTATCATGTAGCTTCTGCCCATTTGTTGGTGGATGCCTTGTATTCTCCCAGTGAGATGCACGTAAGCTCCTTGAGGGCAGGAACTGTTTTCATTTTTGTCTGTGAATCCCCAGCACCTCCCCTTGTGCTTAATTGAACTCATTGAATGAGTGATTGAATTTCCTGTGAAAGCACTTAGAAACAAGTTTGGTTAAGGCCATTTAAATATACCTGTGATTCTCCAGTCCGTGGTGTAGAGCAGGCCTGCAGAGTTTATGGCCCACAGGTTGTACATTGCGCAGGCCTGGGGTAGAGGCTTGCCCGGGTGATTTAAACATTCATGGGCAAGGCTCATGTGCATTTAGGAGAATGGAAGAGTCTATTTTGAAGTCAAGACTCTAAGGCTTTGTGTGGAGTATGAGAATTCAGAAATTTTTGAAAAGAAAGACAAAAAAGTCTGAGACACTGTGGTGTGGGAGAAAAAACACTGGATTCAATGAGTTTCTACTTTATCACTTTACTGTAGTCACATAGGGAGTTAAGTTACTGACCCTCCCAGGCCTCAATTTTCCTATCTAATCTGTGAAAAGAAAGGGTTGGCTCAGATGATCTCGAAGTTCCCCTGTGGCTCCCAGTGCCTGATTCTACATTTTCTCCTAACCAACCTATATGGGGTGGGTAGAGTAGCTATTAGTATCCTTTTTTTGCAGAGAAAGGAACCAGTATCCTTGGGAGTCAGAGTAACTACCCCAGAGTACACTGGGAGCTCACGGGGGAGGCAAGCCTGACATCATAGTCCATGTGAATTTCTCCCACTGCCTCAAGGACGAGACTCTGCTACTTGTCAGTGGGCACATCTGTTCCATCTCCTCCTTTCCCAAGAACCAAATCATCACCGTGACCCACAGCTTGGAGATTAGTGACATCTTGTGTCCCAGGACAGCTTGATCTTGTAGACTCACTTAAACATGACTGGCAAGCCTTCATTGAGATAGAGAAATTTACATGTGCCTCAAGCATGTATTGGCAATAGTCTGAGAATGTTGATAAAATATATTTTTAATAGCATTTAATGGTGATGGTCTGAGACCGCTGATAAAACCTTTTTAATAGCATTCAATGGTGATGGTCTGAGGTTGTTGATAAAACATATTTTTAATAGCATTTATGGTTGATGGTCTGAGGTTGTTGATAAAACCTATTTTTAATAGCATCTGTTGGCAGGGATCTGAGATGGTTTGTGGAAACATTTTTAATAACAGCACGGGGTTTAATTTCTGAGTTAATACCTGCATATCACTTATACTCCTTTCCGCTCCTACAGGTTTCTCCAGGATGATCGGCTTCTGCCTTCTCCTTCAGCATTTACTCCCGCCATGTTCATTCCCACCACTGACTTAGCCATCCTCGACACACAGCAGCTCCCTGTCCATCAGTGGCAGCCACCCCAGGTCCCCCAGAGTGAGGTCTGCCTTCAGGTAATATCTTCAGAAGGAGCGAACTGGCCTTCTGCTTTTCAACCCACTCCTTTCTGATCAGCAGTGAGGTCTGGGCAGGAGAGGCTAGGGTGAAGAAGGGACCCCTCAGTGGCTAAGTGGATGTGGCTCTAGGACTCAGTGCAGCTGTAAATCTGCTGTCCCCAAGGTAGCTTTGTGTTCCCATAGAGGTAGGCCCTCCCTGCTTTAAAGACACCTACTCAGATTTCATAATCTGGACCTTACTTTTTTTAAAGGCCAATAATTCACAGTTGTCAAGTGGCAAATGCCCCTTGAATGGAAATCTAAACATCTATGACTTTACCAAAGGTTTCATCCCAGGGCTTTTTTAACTAATGAGCCCCTGCTATTACATTTCAAATAAGATGCAGCTCTCCAACCTTTGCAGAAACACCCAGGCACAAAAGGAATCAGCCTTGTGTTTTTGGAGCATTGTAGCTTTAGAATAGGCCTCTGAGGTCATTAAGTCCAGCCCGTACCTGTACAGAAGTCTGCCCCCCCCAACCCATCTCTGAGAAGTGGTCCACTGGTCTCTAGTAATGGGGAGCTCATGACTTACCAAGCCAGTTCATCTCCTCTTTGGACACACATGGCCAGGAAGTTTTCCCTTATGTTGAGTAGGGATTTGTCCTCTCGGTATCATCTGCCCAATGTCTCCGGTTCTGTTCTCTGGGACCAAGAAGACCGAGCCTAAACGTTCCTATTCCATGGGGAAGATCTTCTCCCAGTTCATCATCCCCAGTTCCCCCAACCAATCCTTCAAACGTGGCGTCTCATTTCCTCCCAATTTTCTTTCCTCCATCCTCAAGCTTGATGGTTTGACCTTGCCTTGGAAATCAGGCTGACTGTGGCAAGTGAGCTTCAGGGGCAGCTCTCAGTGATTCTGGGGGAGACAGAACTGTTTGCCAAGAGAGCATTTGCTTTGGCTGAGCAGGTTACACCTGAGGGGCTACCATGAGGGACTGGTGGCTTCAGCCTGAGTGAGGTCTCCTCCCCCCAAAAAAAGACCCTGCTGAAGAAAGATTCTGTCATGGGTACAACAGATTCTCACTGAACATTTATACACTTAACAGCCTTTATACACTTAACTAATTGAAGTCTACTCTTAGAAATAGTGTTTCTTGCTGTCCCTGGACATGCCAACCCTGTCAGACTGAAGTCTAAACAAGATTGACGGGCCAGGGTGGGGACGGGGACAGGGTGGAAAAGGGCAGTCTGCCTTAATGATGTCTGAATTAGAGCATGCTAAAGCATGACAGCTCTCCCACTAACACCAACTTGGTTAGCAAAGGGCAGTACAGAAAGGGCTGGACCAAGTCAGGTTCCACAGATCAGTTTTAATAATGAGAGAAACCAGGGATTCTTCATCTAGCATTCTTGTTTGTTGGTGAGTATATTGCCACAGGACTGTTTGAAAGCTGTTTATTCTCCTAATAGTCTACCTGCAAGCTTACTTTGCTTGCCAAATCCCACTGTCCTTGATAGCAAACTAGGAAATTTCATTCTGTCCCTGTGGACTTTCAGCTTCCCAGTCAACATGGTCATAAGCCACCATCATGGCCTGCCAGTGCCTACTGTGCGCTCAGCCCTGCTCTCATGTAACTTACAGCCTCATTAGTGAGGCAGGATGAACACATGGCAAAGAATACAACAGAGCATCCTAGCTGGGTTACCCCAGGCAAGTCTCTTAATCTTGTTAAGCCTCAGTCTCCTCATCTTCAAAAGGGGATAACAGTAGCTAAAGGGCCTCCCTCAATAGTGAATGTGCTATAGCTTCTGTTAATACCTGTTCATCTAATGCTTTGATGGTTTGCAAAGCACTTTCATCAGAAGAACTCTGTAACGTAGATGGCCCAGGTGTTATTGTACCCATTTGACAGAGGAGGCTCAGGGGGTGAAGGGACTTGCCCAGGATCTCACAGGTAGGAAGTGACAGGGCCAGAATGCAATTCCAAGGAATGCTACATGCTCCATGAGCTTGGAGAAGGCAGTGACCAGGTGAAGGGCTGTGGGAGTGAGGGGGGGGAGGTGGACCTTTAAGCCCCAAAGAATGAGAAGTAAAGCATGTGACAGCAGAACCTGCCTCTTCTCCTCCGATGATCTCCAGGCCTAGCTTATCTAAAATGGCCCCAGTACGTCAAGGGTTCCCCATCCAAGATGGTGCTTCTTCAGATATCAGCCAAAGGAGCCAAAGGTATTGGGCCAAAGACTTCATCCTGCCCCATTTTTCTTTCTGCAGATTCATACTCCTGAGGCAGTCCAGGGAAGTCAGTCTCCAGGGATTTGCCAGGCACCCCAAGTATTACAGTCACCCTCCATGGGCTGTTTCCTGAATCCTCAGCAGCCCAACACAGAGCTGTCCGACATATAGGCTCCATGAGAGCCAGGGCTGTGGTGACAAGAGGCTAGAGCCCATGGAAAAGCGAGTCAAGGGGAACAGAAGCTCCTGGAGCAGAAGAACCAGCCCAGAAAGAAGGGGACTCTGGGATGGGAGGGGGTGGGGTCGGGGTGGGGATGGGGCAGGGGTGAAAGACTGGCACAGGGTAAAAGTGCCAGGGGTGCTCTGGGGGATGCAGTACCAGGACTTGCTTTCTTTTCCTGGTGTAACATTTCCTTAGTATTTAAAACTAGAGAGTACATTTCTTTAAGTAATGATATAAAAAAAGGCATCTACTCAGTGATGTGACCTAGAACTTGAAACTGTGAGTAGCTACCATCCATCTCTCCCAACACAAACACACACACACACACACACACACACACGTGTGCACACATACACACTCATGCGTGCACACACGCGCGCGCGCACACACACACACACACCACACACACACGGGTTTAGGCATGTTGCAGTTTTGCAACACTAGCTAGAGTTGCTATAGCCCTTCTGGGAATCCCTTTCCCTTCAAAGTCAATCTTTCAAAGTCCTTAATGACCCAGAGGCCAAGGTGATTCCCATAGGTGTGCTGCCATCTCATTCACCAAAGCTCCTGGGACCTGGGCTTGGATTCATTCCTAAGCCAAGCACCCATCACTTTGGGAAGATCCTGCTGGAGCCTACCGGGCATTGAAATGCTCAACCACCTGCCAGTTCAGCGAGCAAGAATTTAGGGCTTTGGAGATTCATAACAATTCACTGTGAATTTTAGACCAGCTTCTGGAACACAAACTGTAACAAAGCAACAGGATTGTACTTAAATGTTATGTAGAGAACTCTTTTTCTTCAGGGAGTGGTAAGTTATAGCTTGCTTCATATATGTTGCTTTATTTCTCATACCTCAGTCCCATATTGTTTTTCCAAATCATTGGATAACGCTGCTAATTTAACACCACTCATGCCTGAAATCCTTATTCTTGTCAACAAAACTGTTGCATTTGGATTTTGATGTGCAAGTCCACCTGGTGGCCAGGTGCCGGTCACCTCTGCAGCTGGCAGCAACTTTAGGCCACCAAGACCTGCCAGCTACGACTTTAGCAATTCAGGAGTTGTACTGTAGTCGGTTTTACATTTTCCTGTAAATGTTCATTGTTTTGAATTGAAATAGTTGCTCTTTGGTGGGTATTTTTGTCCAGTGTTCCCAATGTTAGTGTATTTGCAAAAGAAATGGGTTTCTCTTTCTGAAGTGATTGCATAGTGTGCAACCTATTCAAACAACCCACGTTATTAAAGAATATTTCTGGTGTTTGTAAATCTGCGTAAAGAAGTAATTGTTTATATTTGATGCCAAATTCATAAGGCAGTACCATTGCCGGAGGTAGAGAAAGGATGCTTAACTGCTTGGCTAAAATGTTGTGGTGGCATCAGTGGAGAGACTGGGCCAATGGGAAACTGATTTTGGGAATAAGGGCCAAAGGCTGGGGTTCCTGAAGCAGGCCTGCTCCTTGATTGTGAACAGGGGAGAAGCACCCATTTCTGTAGCTTTCATCCCAGCCCTGAGAGGCAGATAATGAATGCATCATCTTTGTTTTTTAGCCTCAGAGAGCTTGGGTGACTTGCCCAGGGTCATGTGACCAGTAAGGCCTCGAGGCATAGAGTTCGAGGCCAGATCTCTCCTTCTCTCCCAAGTCCGGTGCGCTTTTCACCTGACATCTGGAGGGTGGTCTGTGGTCTTCAGAGCCCTGGGATAGTCATTGTCTTCCTTGATCTTTACTCCAGCTCCAAAGTAAGCAGGCTGGGGACAATTAGCTCCCTTTTACAGATAAGAAAATTGAGGCTCAGGAAAGTGGTGAGTTTTCTAGCATGGCCAGTTAGTGACAAGAGTCAGGGTCAGCAGCCAGGCCTTGTGCTTGGAGAACTTTGCTAGATCTAGTTCTGAGGCAGTTGGGTAATGTAGTGGACAGGGCTGGCCCTGAAGTCTAGAAGTCCTGAATTTAAATTCTGCCTCAGTCACTTTAGTAGCTGTACAGCCTAGTCAGCCTCAGTTTCCTAATCTGGAAAGTGGGGATAATAATAGCACCTCCTTGCCAGAGGTGTTGTAGGATCAGATGAGATGCAGTAGTAGAGTGGGCTTGTCCTGTGAGCATTGGTCAGGAGTGCGCAGCTCAGAGAGGGCCAACCTCAGACATGGTCAACAAAGGCTGCACCCGTGTACCTGTGGAATGGGCAAAAGGGGGCGGAGTCTGTGCTTCAGGAAATACCCATCATGCCCAGTTGGCTTTGCTTCACTTGCTGGCATCTTACTCCCTTTGAAATCTCTAACCTGAGAAAAGGTTCAAGAGGCCCAAAGCAATCCCCCTTCCTGCCCTTCCTGCCCTGAAGAGCACAAACTGAAGAAATTTGTATACACAGCCTCCTCAGCTCCACCTACTGCCACAGGGCATAGTGGTCCTATGTCACAAAGGAGATAAAACCCAGTGTAGTACTTGAGAAAATCAACACAAGAGAGAAATCGTGGAAGTCATAGGGCTGCCTTCCATGATGGGGAGGCCCTCCCTCCGTCCCTTCCCATTGAATCAAGCTTATCCCAAGGGGGAAGGAGCAGGGGGCATATTTCAGAATGGTCTCCATGTGCTGATTTCAAGGTTAAACTCAGCCTTGACAGAAGGTACCTCCTCCAATCCCATGTGGTTGGGCCATGGGAGCCTGGAGAGTTTGGCAACATCAGTCTCTGACTGCTCCATGTGACCATTGTTGGTATCATGCTGCTGGCTGCTTTCTTAGCTGACACTGCCCCAGCGCAATGACAGACAGGAACATTTCTCCTACCCCAACTGGGCCCAAGCCCACTTTGCTCTAAGAGGCTCTGTTGTCAGCCTTCATTCCTAGGAGCACAGATCTGGAAATGGAAGACCTTAGAGATCATCTAGTACAACCTCATTTTACAAATGAGGAAACCGAGGCCCAAAAATGTTAAGAGACTTGCCCAAGGTCACATAGGTTGGGACTTGAATCCAAGTCCTCTGCCTTCGAATCGTGAGATCTTGGCCACTGTGCTACATTATATCATATAAGAAAAGAAAAGTGATCAGAGCAAGAAACAGCTACTAAGCACTGATGTGCTTTGTCATAACCATTGGTCGTTCCCAGGAATGATACAGCCTCCAACATGTTCCCTGTTGGGGGACAGGGGAGTGATGAGTATGCTTGACAGGAAGTAGCATCCATTATACATGTAGTGCAGATGGTGACGTGGCTCATGGTGACTTGGGTTCAAATCCAGGTCCCTCTTACCACCCATGTCACCTTGGGGAAGTCAACCTTCCTGAGTCTGTTGCTTCCTTTGCAACATGTGAGGCTTGGGCCTAGCTCAACCCTAAGCTCCCTATGACTAAAATGCAGCTAGCTTACAGGGAATAAAAGAAGCTGGGTCGAAATAATGTAAGTTCTAAGGCACTGAAGACGTTTGGGAAACTTAGCTAGGTGGCATTCTTTTTTTGTAAAGTCTCCTAGAAGAGAATAGAAATGGAGATTTCCAAAAAAATCCTATTATATGCAAATGGTCCATGTACATGTATTGGCTTCCCTGTTGTGGCCGTAGTAGACAGCCATGTCAATTATTGGGCTTGCCCGGAAGCTAAGTGCTGGGCTCACAGTATGCAGACTTGCTTGTATTATGCTTTCTTTGATGATCTAGTTGCCAAAACATTCCCATGATACACCATTCCAAGGAGCTGTGCTGGGCATCAGAGGCTTATTTAAGTAGGGGGATATTGGCAGCTCCGCAGCATTCTGACAGGAGTGGAGGGAACTCAGAAGGTCATGTCAAGTATCATCTGCCACAGAAGAAAGACTTATGTCTGAGTTAGTTGGACCTGTTTTTTTCACCCTCCTTTTAAAGGGCAAGGAAAAGGGTGGAAATAATTCTGGGCAAAACTTCAAAAGCCTGAAAAGCTTAGTCCCAGCTCTATAACCCATTGAATTTTGTAAAATCACCTAATTTCTCTGTCACATTTTCCCTACCTGGAAAATGGGTACAAAAATGCCTGCCCTAATTGGTTCATGGAACCAGAGAAGAAATATATGCATGTAAAAACTCTTTAGAGGAAAAGGATGACAGAAAAGGGGCCACCTGGGCATTCAGGTTGTCTCAGTTTTGTTTTTTGAAGGGTATGATTATGCCATCCACCCTCCACCAAAGGTTCTCAGCTACTTTTCTGGATGTGCCCATTTTCACCATTCCCAGTGGACTAATGAGAAAACCAAGGCAGAGAGAAAATTACCTCTTCAGGGTCTCATAGCCAAGTACAAGTGGAGGCAGAATTTGAATCCCAAGTCTTTGGCATTCTCTTTTTTTGTTTAGCTATGACAAGTCAGGCTGTAAAAAAGCATAGGATTGCGGATTAATTGAGGAGCAAGCCCACATTTCCAAAAGACTGCCTTTTGGTTGCCATAAGAGATCAAGGGAATGAGGACTCATGGGCCATTTCTCTCAGCCCCCATTGACCAAATGCTTCTGGCTAGGCTCCACTGTCTACCATGAGTTCGATTTGCTCTAAGACAAGCATCCATTTTCAGTGCTGAGCTTGTGGCCCCTGTGGAACCTGTTCCATGTCAGCCTTTTCCCTGTTCTATTGAATTTGGCATGATAGTGAAGGTTGACTGTCCCCCCACCCCCTGCCGCCCCACTGCTGGTCACAGGTGGGCTTTTGAGAGCTGCCTACAGTTAGTGGTGATGGACAGCAGAGGCCACAGCTCGAGTTTAAGAAAAGCTTTCTCTAATCTTACCAAGGCAGATCTCTTTGCCACCTGCCCCACTTTCTATGGGCGCTGTATTCTACTAGCACAAATGCAGGCATGGTTCCCCAACCCCTTACTGGCGAAATCAGAAAAACTGCTGACAGAATGTGGGCATGAGGGGTAGAGAGTTTTCCAGGGAGCTGCTCATTGTCTGCCTCATAACGAACACACAGGCTATGGCACCATGGCTTACTGATGGAGATGACCAAGTCAGAGCCCCTGACTTGTGTATGTGTGTGTGTATGTGTGTGTATGTGTGTGTGTATCTGTGTGTGTATGTGTGTGTATGTGCGTGT